CCTTCTTTACTCGGCCACATTCACAGTATCTTATCACTGCCGAGTCGTCAATATCTAGAAATCAAGCCTTCAGATACTACTATAAACGATATGGAACCATATCAAGACGATCAAATCTAAAATAATTTTTTTTTATATACAGTCGAGATCATTATGACACAAAACGTACGGAATCTTACAACTGTTAACATAGGTTGAAGCTACAAGAAGATAAAGATATATGGTAGAAAGTACGAATGATGAAGGTATCAATTACAGCTATATTAATATCCTTCGTTCTATTATTTACCTTAGGTAAGTCGGATGAAGTGATATTTGATATTTATTCTTCCGAAGAATATGTAAACGATGAAATTAATACGGTATCTGGACAATATAGCCAATTATCCAATGATTCGTTGTTGTGGGGCCCATATAGATCGTCGTTATATTTTGGTATTAGACCAAGGATACCAAGGTCTCTATTATCTGGGTTGATGTGGTTCAATGTGGATAGTTATGATGCAATTGGTAATCTCAGACATGTATATGAACAGGGTGATAATATGAAGAAAGCAAATTGGGTAGCATACGATCCAAGAACTGGCGGTAGGCTTGTAGTATCAGATAAAGATTGCCATATTGATGTTATTATCGATTTTGTTAAAAGTGAAGATGGAAAGTCTTGGGGGACCAAAATAAAGGGTGTTCCTCATAAGGGCTATGAGAAAGTGAAGACTTCTTTTGTATGGTATTCGGGCTTAGAGGGTGAAACTGAAAGAGTAGATGATTACGGTAATAAGGTTTCAGAGAGAAATGGGTATTTAAATTTAGATAATAAGAAGAATGTCTTGGGTTATGCGGATAACGTTAAATTGAGTGGTATTTCTGAGGAACTAGGACTTTTTGAATTGGAAATAGGTAAAGGACCAAAATCTAACAAACACCCAACTGATGCCACATTACTTGATCCTGAGTTGGATACATCTAAATCACATCATTACAGTCTTACTGTCCCAGATGATCATGTTTGGAAAGCCCGTGATATATTTATGACTATGTTGATGGAATCAATTAAAGAGCTCACTAATAAGTACGGTGACATACAAGAATTTCCTCCGGAACAGGCATTTATAATCAGAGATTTGCAGAATTTTGAAGGTAACTTGCATTTCGTGCAAAATGTTTTCGAGGGTAAATGTGAGTTTGACGTTATATATACCAATGCTGTTACACCGGAAGAAGATAGAATCACATTTGAGAATATAAATACGAAAGCAAAAAACGCAATAAAGGTCTTTGAGAAAAAATTCAGCCAATCTTTCGATTTAAAAGCTCCTTACAACAAAGATAAGACGCATGAAAAGTTCGCAAAGGAAATGTTGTCAGGTTTGTTAGGAGGCCTTTCGTATTTCTATGGTGATCATTTAGTTGATAGAAATACAGTCTTTGACGAAGACTCGTTTGAATCTTATCAATTGCAGGGGTCTTTTGAAGGACCCCATGAATTATTTACATTGGTTCCTTCTCGTCCTTTTTTCCCAAGAGGTTTCTATTGGGATGAAGGGTTCCATTTATTGCCGTTATTAAAGTTTGATTCGGATTTAGCTTTGGAGGTTGTTCAATCTTGGTTTAATTTGATTGATGATGATGGTTGGATTGCCCGTGAACAGATATTAGGTCCTGAACTGAGATCCAAGGTACCCGAGCAATTCCAAGTGCAAAGTCCTGAAATTGTAAATCCACCAACATTAATGCTTATATTTAGTGAATTATTAGAAAGTATTCAAAACTCTCATACTTATGGTGATATCAATGAACCACAACAAGTATCAGATTATGGTGATGGAAAAACCTTTGACAAGAAAGATCTTGGCCTGATTATTATTAAGAACCCTGAAGTGATGACAGATTATGCCAAAAGAATTTACCCTAAGTTAAAGACTCACTTTGAATGGTTCCGTAGAACCCAACAAGGATATATCGAAGAATTTGATAGAGGTACTAATAAGGAAGGTTATAGATGGAGAGGGCGCACCTTAACACATTGTCTCGCCAGTGGATTAGATGACTATCCAAGAGTCATTCCGGCTGATATTGCTGAATTGAACGTTGATTTGCTCTCTTGGGTTGGGGTTATGACCAAATCAATGAAGTCCATCGCAGGATTTTTAAATTACCAGAATGATTTTGAGAAATATCAGAAAATTGAGAAAGACATCATTGAAAACTTGGATAACTTACATTGGTCTGATTCTGAAAAGACATATTGTGATTTATCGGTGGACGATAATGACGAAAATAAGCATGTTTGTCATAAGGGGTATATATCGCTATTCCCATTCTTGACAAAATTAACTCCTGTTGATGATGTGGATAAAATTGAACAAATTGTTAACCTTATTTCGGACCCAGAAGAATTATGGTCTGACTATGGTATTAGGTCGCTTTCAAAGTCGAATGAGTTCTATGGAACAGAAGAAAACTACTGGAGGTCACCAATATGGATTCACATAAACAGTTTGATCTTGGAGAGTTTGCAACATTACAGTAAAACTTCCTCCCCTTATATGTCTAAAGGTTTGAAACAGAAAGTAAGTGAAACTTACAAAAACTTACGGACAAATGTGGTTAACAACATCATAAAACAGTGGAAACGCACTGGTTTTGTATGGGAACAATATGATGATCAAACAGGAAAAGCAAAAGGTGCTAAAAATTTCCTTGGATGGACTTCTACTGTTCTCATCATTATGAACATGGATGAAACAATTTAATTTAGATTAATATAGAATAAATTTACATAGACTATTCCAATACAGAAAACATAAAATTGTACCCAGTAAATCCTCAGACATGGTAACTTCTCTCAGATGCATGAGATAGAGATAATTATCAGATACATTCATGTAAACTACAAAATTATACCTAGAAACCCTCGTCACGGATATTTAAGCTGAGGTAATTTTACCCCAGGAATACGTGCTTAACTTCTATGTTGTGTTTTAGTTTGATGTCATATCACCATTTATGAAACTAAATTTAGTGTATTTAATCCGTTCCCTGAAGTATCGATCACCTCACTGTCATAATAGTCTTAACGATTTATGAATTTAAGTTTCGGGGCTTTTCTACGTCTCTCCGCATTATAATTCTATCAATAAACAACCTAAATCTTAATTGTTAGCATAATGAATAATTCACTAGTATATAATCACTAGTAGATAAAATAGTACATGATTTGATATTTCTAAGTATTAAATGAAGATAACCAATAGTTAGTTTAATAACTTATATATTGACAAGAGTTTTACTATTGTACAACGTACCAGAGCTAGCGGGTAAATATTTTTCTTCATTACAATCATTGTTACACTTGATTAAATTTTGATTCAATTACAGATAACTGCACAACATATATCATATAGACATAAATTCGCAATGCACATGGCCATGTTATAAACGGAGATAGCAGTTCGCTTGGACGATTATGCAGTAAAAGCGAACAAAATATAGTATAACTTAGTAATACGATTACCGAGGAATTTCATATTTAAGGTTGGAAATATAATCAACTATTTGTATACTGTTTGCTAGTATTAGTATATTATGGCAGCTACCGAAATTACACCTTTAAAAAACACTGACTTATTTAAGTCAATAAAAGTTGGTGACCATACCTTGTCAAATAAAGTTGTTCATGCTCCCACTACTAGATTCAGAGCTTTAGACGATCATACTCCTTCGGATTTAGAATTTGAGTATTACTCTAAGAGATCTCAGTTTCCTGGTTCCTTGTTGGTTACTGAAGCAACTTTTGTATCGGAGCAAGCTGGTTTATACTCTAATGTTCCTGGAATATGGGATGCCAAGCACGTTCAAGCATGGAAGAAAATAACTGATGAAGTTCATAAGAATGGTTCGTTCATCGCTTGTCAATTTTGGTATTTGGGTAGGGTTGGTGATCCAAAATTATTAAAGAAACGTGGATTGGACTTTGTTTCGTCGTCTGACAATTACGTAGATGAAAAATCAAAAACATATGCCGAATCAGTTGGTAATCCTCTTAGAGCTTTGACAGAAGATGAAGTTCATGATCTCGTATTCAAGACATACGCTAATGCAGCCAAAAATGCATTAGCTGCTGGTTTTGATTATATTGAACTCCATGGTGCCCACGGTTACTTAATCGATCAATTTCTTCAGCCATCAGCAAACACCAGAAATGACAAATACGGTGGAAGTATCGAGAAAAGAGCAAAGTTTGTGTTGGATTTAATCGATCATTTGACATCTATTGTCGGTGCACATAGATTAGCCATTAGACTTTCGCCATGGGCCAAGTTCCAAGGTATTAAAAGTGAAGAAGATACAGTGCATCCAATCACAACATTTAGTTATCTTTTACATGAATTACAGAACAGGGCCGAAGTAGGCAACCAGCTTGCATACATTTCGATTGTGGAGCCTCGTGTTCAGGGAACTATTAGCGTAAGTGAAGACCAACAAAAGGGAAATAATGGTTTCGTTGCTCAGATTTGGAAAGGCATAATTTTGAAGAGTGGTAATTACACCTATGATGCTCCTAACTTCAAGACCATGTTACAAGATATCAGTGACAATCGTACTTTAGTTGGATTTTCCAGGTATTATACTTCTAACCCTGATTTAGTTAAAAGACTTTACGAAGGATGGGACTTAGTTCCTTACGATAGACCCACTTTTTACACCAAGAACAACTGGCACTATAACACTTTTACTAACTATGAAGAGGAAGACAAGTTCATCAAGGAAGAAGAAGAAAAGAGAGTTGCTAAGGATATCGGATTACTCAAAGCTCATTTGTGATATTGTATTTGAAGATTTTGCTTACAATCTGATCAATATTGAAATCCTAAACATTTTTAGCGCGATTTATTGCAACCGTCTGCTTCAGTTATAAGTATTATAAATATCATATAGATTACTTTAGTTACATATTTTAAATTAGACAATATAAGTGAGAGTAATAGGAATACAATATGGGTCCTAAGAAAGAAAACAATCCCTTAATAAAAGGTCAAGAAGCCGAGGATTTGGTTAAAAATTACCTCAAAGAACAGTATCGGCCGTATTCAGTTTCAGATTTGATATTGAATTTACACAACAGGATAAACAAGGCAACCATGACTAAATGTCTAGACTCTTTAGTTTCCACCGGTGAAATAGTTTCAAAGACTTATGGAAAAATGGTGTATTATGTATACAAAGAGGAAGAAATTGACAAGAACTTAGAAGCGGAAGTTAATACAGAATCTATAAAAAAAATTAAAGAGGAAGTGGAAGATTTAAGCAAATGTGTAAAGACTTTGCAGGCTGGTACGTATAATAATGGATGTCATCATATTTGCAATTACTAACGTCCGAATAGAATATGACGAGCTCACCAAGTTGCCAACAAACGAAGAAGCAGTATTACAAATTAAGGAACTAGAAAAGGACCTAATTGTTCTAGAAAATAAGCTTGCCTCTATAAAGAGTGAGGGAAGTACAAGATTGTCTAAAAAGGAGATAGATAAATGCAAAAATTATACAAAGGAACTTGAACGTATTTTCAGACAAAGAAAGAAATTGGTACGTAAAGATGAGATGACCCTTTATTGTTCGGCATTACTAACATCCTAATTAGTTCAATAACTTTCTTAGTATGGTCAGGGAAGGTGTAGAGAACTACTCTAATGTTCTAGTATGTATAAATATTTTATAATTTATGTGATGAAACTAACCGTGATAGGACGAAATTGGGATTGACTTAGACCATTATAAAGAATTGTCTAATATTTGTACTTAGGAGAAGTAGCCCATGTCTTAACTACGCTTATTCTAAAGGTTGGCTATTTAAAATATATATCCCATTCAACTTGGCTGTAGTTTGTGTTACATTTTTGGAATACATAATCTTATCGCAATTCTAAAACTCCATGAATTATATAGGAGCATTTTGTCCTCTGTAATCATGGGATATCTAGAATATATAAAGGATAGTGGAATATCCAAGGAAAAGATAGATAATTTAATATTGAATTATTTTATCGTTGAAGGATATCACGAAGCAGCTATTAGCTTTGCAAAGGAAATCAACATAGAACTAAAAAATGAAAGGATAAAATCTCATTCATCGTCACTGAACCCCTTTATCAAGCAATTAGGTTCGATGAGTTCGATGAGTAATTCAGATTTTGCAGAGGTAGCTCTGAATTATTTTGAAAAGAACGATACTTATGATTCGAATGTTACCCCACATAGTCATCATCATCCTATAGTAAAACCCAAGATTATTTCGGACTATTCTACTATCAATCAACGTAAAGAAATTAAGCTATTGATATTAAAAGGATCTATTACTGATGCAATTCAAAAGATAAGTGAATATTTTCCAACCATTCTTGATTCGAACAACCTCTTACATTTTAAGCTATTGCGCTTAAATTTAATCGAAATGATCAGAAATCATAAGTTGACGAATGGGAATATTACTGATATAGCATTAGAAAGAAAGTTCTTAGATGATATATTAACATTTGTCAGGGAGAACTTGATCAACAAAGTAACACATTCAAGCAAATTATTAAAAGAATTGGAGATAACCATGAGTTTATTATGCTTCAACTTTGATGCGGATAAAAGCATTGAAGAACAGAAGGATTTGCCTGAAGAACTAAGATCATTGTTTAATTTATCATTAAGAAATCAATGTTACAGATTGGTAAATAAGGCTATCTTGAATCTATATTATAATGAAGAAACGATAGAGGAGAATGGTAATGTCAACGGAAATGTCAATAGAAATAACCAGGGGCTTTATAACGGAGAAATTGAAAATAATAAGGTATATAAGGGACCAAAACATTTAGAATTCAATTTGTCGGGCTTTGATAAGTTTGAAGCACAAGAAAAGGATATTGAAATGATTGATGACAATACAAGTGATATGCTCTATGACTATAATTTGAAATATGATGAAAATATAGCACATACAAATGCGAACAATCAATCCCAGGACACTAGTGTCAGCCATGATGACAATTTACAAGACGAATTACAAGACTTATCATTAGAATCTAAATTAGAAAGAATCATCAAACTTTGGACTATTGCCGAACAAAGGCTAGTTGATCTAAATTTCCGTAAATCTAAGCAATATGAATTCACTGATGGGAACTTGTAATATATATTTACATAGTGCTAAATACTCCTAATAAATGATTACGCAATCAATAACATTGCCAGTTTCAATATTACATTTACTGAGGTAACATAAATCTTGCTGGTGATCAATTTCTTTATCATATTTGTTAAATATGAGAACGTCTCTGTCTTTATACTCTTTATCGTGAAATTCCTTATATATCTTCGAATTTTCAAAAAGTTGTAAGATTTTGCGTCTCAAGTGAATTACGGTGGAACCAAATTCAGGATTCTCATTCATTTCAAAGTCTTCAGGACTGAATTCAAAGTGATATCTGATAAATTTCCTTAACTTAAATAAACTCGATCCTAATTGATTTAACTCGTTCCATTTTAGTATATTAAATTTACTATGTTGCTTCAAAGAGTAATATTTTTCAAGTTGGTCCAAGTCTTTAGCACTAATTACATTCAACCTGAAATAAACATGAGCACAGTGTATCGGTACTTCGGTAAATATGTCTTTGGCATGATATTCCCATAAATTTAAGTAAATACCTGACCAGTATATCGTTTCATAGCTCAATACGATCAAAAATAGTACGATTAATATCTCAGTAATAAATTTGCTTGTAGGAGTCAAGATTAAATTCGACGTAAATGAATACGACTCCAAAAATTCGGCCAAAGGTCTCTCAATAGCATCCCATTTGACGGATATGCCCATGTTGCTCTTGTATATTTAATCAATTGATCGTGTAGTCTTGAAAACCCAGATCGGCTAACCTCCGGTGATTGTATGTCCCAACATCGTAATTGCCTGCACATAGTTTAGTATATGATATTGACGGCCCTTGCTATGAAGGGACCTTAAACCTAATACAGTAGGGCTACGTACGCAAACGTCCATATCACCAAAAAGGATTTAATTTAACGCTTATGATTAACTGAAGTCGGAAGTTTTTTTTTAAAAAAAAATATAAAGTCAATAATGTGTTGTTACAATATAAGAGACTGAAGCTGGGAGGATAATGGAAGGAGGGTAAAAGAATTTGGAGGAATTAAAGATGAAGCTGGAATGAGAGTGGATATAGTTAATTGACATCATATGCTACCATATCCCGGTCCGATTGATTTAGGTTTAAATAGCAGAAGCGAAAATGTGGTGTGGTTCATGTGAAATTGAATGAGAGGAGAAACTGCAGAGTTTTCTGGGTCGTATAGTATGTATGTATTTATTGTAAAGTATGAAAGATTGCAACAAATCACTCCATCGATCGAGAGTCGTGAAATCTTAATGGTCAAATTAATAGTTTGCTTGAGTTGAATCATTATCATTCTCCAAGATATTTACAAACAAATCGCATCGTTGAATAAGTTGAATCTCTTGCAGTTGAAATATCGCTTCCCTGGAGATCATCGTTCTCAGCACATTATGAACCCTACGCTTTTGAAACATGAGTATTAGGGTTGGAAAATAAGAGGGGGACAAAATAACAATGTATTGCTGCAACTCAGTAGTCGAAAATTTCTTTGCTTTTTATTATGTGCGTTATCATATTAACCATATTAAGTAATTAACTGGAACACTTTTATGGATTTAAACTATTTTCAATTATCTGGTCACCATGACCCCGAATACGGTAGATTTGAATTAAGAATATTGTACAATTGACATTAAGAGCCAATTTTGGTATTAATATTCAAGTGGAGAAGAATGTATAAAAGCACTTTATGTAAGGTGCTATTGAATATCAATTATCAAGCCTGATTGACGACACTATGAGCTATAAGAACTTAATACTTTTATGCTTCATTCTGCTTTTCGCAGAATCTGTGCTAGGTGTACCGTTAATTCCAGTCAAGCCAAGTAAAGATGAATTCTATACTCCTCCAGCAGGATATGAGAACCACAGCAATGGTGATATCCTTAAAATGAGACCTACACCCCAAAAATTAAGGAGTGTTTTCTTGCCAATTAACATTAAGAGTTCATGGCAAGTTCTCGTCAAATCAACCGATTCTTTTGGTAATGCAACTGCTATTGTCACAACTATAATGGAACCATATAATGCTGATCCAAGCAAGGTTGTTTCGTATCAGGCTTTTGAAGATTCAGCAGCATTGGATTGTGCTCCTTCGTATGCGTACTTATATGGAGCAAGTGCAGCCACCATCAGTACTCAAATCGAAATGTATTTTATTCAAATTGCTTTAGACAGAGGCTGGTATGTGGTTTCCCCAGACTATGAGGGCCCTAAAGCTACATTTACAGTAGGGAAACAATCTGGACATGCAACATTAGATTCTATTCGAGCTGCACTTCTGACATCAGGTACTACTGGTATCAATAAAGATGCCAAGGTTGCCATGTGGGGATATTCAGGCGGCACTGTTCCTTCTGCTTGGGCTTCTGTTTTACAACCAACATATGCCAAAGAGTTAAAATCCAACTTAATAGGTGCAGCATTGGGTGGGCTTGTTACCAATATTACTGGTACCGCCGAAGGAGTTGAAGGGACCTTCTTTGCAGGATTAACAATTAGCGCTATTACTGGATTGGCTGGTGAATATCCTGAACTTAAAACGGTAATTTCTAAGCAGCTTGTTTCAACGAAAGCACTTCTGTATGAAAAAGGTGATAGATTATGCTTGGCACCTGCTCTTTTTAATTATGCATTTCGGAGAATATTTTCAGGTCCATTGAGGTATGTAAAGGATGGGTGGGAAGTCTTGAGTATTCCAGTAATTAAAAAGATAATTGATGAGAACACGTTAGCTTTAAGCAAGGGAAGTCCAAAGCCTGAAGTCCCCATTTTCGTATTCCACGGAGCAAAGGATACACTCGTTCCATTCAAGGATGCACAAAGAGTTTACGAGAACTGGTGTGAAGAGGGAGTCAAGTCTTTTGAATTTGCTATCGATAAATCAACTGGGCATATTACTGAATTATTAGCAGGGACTCCTGCAGCAATTGCATGGATAACTAAAATGTTCAATGGAGAAGAGCCAGTTAAAGGATGTACCAGGACCGAAAGAAAATCCAATTTAGAGTATCCAGGATCCGATCGCTCTATTTTCGATTTCTTATCTGCTGCTGCTACAAGTATACTCGGGTTTGAAATTGGACCGAATGCCGAAAACCTTGACCCTAATGGTGAGAATATCAAAATTTCGACTAGTGCTATTAAGGATACAGGAATTCCACTAGACGAGAATATGGAACACAGCGTTCAGAATATAACTACAATTGGTAACTAGCTATACCAATTATTTTTATATCCAGACTCTTTAGAACTTGCGCTCTGATTAGACTATACTGTACGTGATTCGTTTTTACCTAATAGTTATTTAATTTTGCCATTTAAAGTACCTAGCTTTGTTCTGTATTTATCTAACCTTTGATATTTATACTGGCCTTTGAATTATGGGTCTCATATTAATTCTGATATTGACCTAAAAGCTGGCCAAGGCGATCTCTTGTGGGCTCTACGATGGAATCTTCTTCCGCATTTGAGATTATGCACAACTACGAAAAAAAATATACGAAAATGTCTCAGAATAATAATAAAGGATAATAGTTCCCCACATAAAAATTATCGTATTATACGTTGGCATATGAACAATTCACTTCCTTCTCTCAGAGAAAAGTAGGTCATTCTAAAAGATTGAAACTAATATTTCCAATCTACCATCTTGGTGTGCATGTAATACTACTAGACTGAAAATGTGGTTTTCGTAAACAAAATGGATAACAGCGGTATGCATACCGTCAAGGAATCAAATTATTGCCCAAAAATGGTAGTTACTAGAAATATGTAACTACCATTACTCTGGCCATAAATGATCCGACTTTAAAATATTACATTTGTCTTTACAAAATCATCGCTGATCCAAATTCTTCTAAAACTAGCCAAATTAATTCTAGCTTTTTTTTTTTGGTTTTTTTTTTAAAGTCTACGCCATCAAGACTCTTGTTTCATGTGTCAATACGAATTATCCCATGAATCTTGTACCTTTCTGAAAAGACGCAAAATGTATTGGAAATATTTTAAAGGTGTTGCAAATACCGGAAATACCGGAAAATCTTATATACATAATATGGCAGCTATAAGGGTCTTATATATCAATATCAAGCACTAGAGAAGTACCTGAAACTAAAAAGTATACATAAATGTCTGTATTAATATATATATTTAATCAAAATCAAAAAATAATAGGTGGTGACAAAGAAGAAGAGGATCTTTTAAATGATGACATAGAATACGTGTTAGTAAATATTATAGAAGACATCAAGAAAGATACACGTATTCAAAATAAGAAAAAATATGTAGAAGACTACGGTATTATAACAAAAAACAATGAATGTAGAATACAAAATAGAAATAGAGAGTTTAGTGATCATACTATATTAGAAAATGAATATTTGGTTTCACTATTACAAAATATAAGTATTGAACATTTAGATATCGCTACTATGGTAGGTGATCATATGCTTGAACATAACGAGGAAACATGTACAATCAATTAAAAAGAAAATAGAAAAAATTAAAATAAAAGCTTAAAAATAGTTTTAACATAAATTTTTTTATATAAATTTAAAACATAAGAAACATCTAATTGTAGCTTACTAAATATCATGCCATATTCAACATTTACTTCTTCATTATTGTCTATGTATTTTTTATTCTTAAAATCTAGCCTTTTATAACGCTTCTTATTTAATTGTTTTAATAATTTAAAGCAGAATAATATAAGAGTTTATAAAAGCTTCAATATAACAGTAATCTATATCTTCTCCTATATATTGCCTAAAACCTAAATAATGCTACATTATAGCATTATAAATAAAATTATGTCTATACAATGGATTATTACAATAAATTTATCCAAATAATCAAAATCAAAACATGTATTTCCGAACACTAAAAATGGTTTATAATTAACTAGATCTAAAGAAATTAACACAAATTAGTTAAACAATAATCAAGAAGAATATTTTGTGAATAAGCTTCAATTGCAAATCTAGTATCATTTATTATTCTAATTTCATTTAAAGGTTCTAAAATTTTAGATTCTTTGTGACCATTAATCAAATAAATTTTTAAAAACTCTCTTTCATAATTATAAATGCATCTTTTTCTTGAAGGTTCATTCCTAATTTAAATTCTGATTTCCTTTTAATTTGTTAAGATTATGTCCATATTCCCTATTGGCTATCACTATCACTAATATATTTATGGTTCTTGCAATCATTTGAATCATTATACACTGTCACCTGCACAGAAACAAAAGAGAAAAATACGAATATTTTCTCCATTTCGAGAACAATAGGACCGTTCCCCAACTAGTCTCTTTTTTCCATATTTAAGTCCGTTCGATTAAAGACATCTGATAGTCATAAATGTAGTGATTTTAATAGTAATAAGCTATCGCTAAGTGCGTATGATCGAGTTTAAGTGAGCAAATGTAGTACAAATAGCTATTACCTCTATACTTTCTAAGAGAAAAGCTGGTCATACTAGAACAATAAATTAATACTATCATTCCACCCTCACTGTTGTATAATCCTACTCGACCGAAAAAGGGGCTTTTTATCAACGAAATGACCAAGTACCTGATGAAATTACCGGCGAATATGTACTCAACTATCCAAAAAGGGGAATTATTAAAATATGCAACATTCGATGGCAGTATGATGCTTGAGATTATCAAGTATTTGATACAATTAAGGAATATCCAATTTAAAGTTTTCCTCATTTGCAGCTTTACCAGAATAGGAAATAATTAATTTTATAGAATCATGAGACAGTAATAGAAAGCAAAGTAGGAAATAACGTAGTAGGGAATAAACATTATATATATATCTTGTTTATCGGAAACTACAAGAATGGGCAGATAAAACTAAATTTGATTTCATAATGAATTTTAAATCATTCCTTTTTATTTACTTGATTTTAGCATTTTTTGAATCCGCCATAGCAGGGCCCATCAAGGTATTAACACCTACCGAAGATAATTTTTATAACTTACCAGATGGATATGAAGATAAAGAGCCTGGGACAATATTAAAAATTAGAAAGCCACCCCAACAACTTAGAGGTATTTATTTCCCCATCCTGGTTAAAGGAGCTTGGCAAGCGTTAGTAAGAACAACAGACTCACATGGAAATGCTACTGCCATAGTGACCACAATTATAGAGCCATTTAATGCTGACCCCAGCAAGGTTGTTTCTTATCAAATTATGCAAGATTCTGCAAGCGTAGATTGTTCACCTTCATATTCTTTCTTGTATGGTGCATCGATGAACACTGTTTTTGCCCAACTTGAAATGTATCTTATTGATGTAGCATTGATGAGGGGATGGTATGTGATCATCCCAGATTACGAAGGACCAAAAGCTTCTTTCACAGCTGGAAAACAATCTGGGCAATCTACGTTGGATTCCATAAGGGCCACTTTAAAAAGTACTAATATTACTGGTATCAAAGAAGATGCAAAGGTAGCTATGTGGGGCTATTCTGGCGGAACAATTGCTACTGGATGGGCTGCTGCTTTGCAGCCAACATATGCTAAAGAATTAAAGTCTAACTTGATTGGTGCAGCAATGGGTGGGTTCGTTACTAATATCACGTCCACTGCAGAGGGCGTGGAAGGTACTCTTTTTGCTGGTTTAACGGCAAGTGCAGTGGCTGGTTTAACAAATGAATATCCCCAGCTTAAAGCCATGGTTCCTAAGTTGATAATCCCAGACAAACTCGTTGCTTATAACAAGGCCCAAAAGTTGTGTTTTTTGCCGTCAATCGTAACATTTGCATTTCAAAAAATTTTCACTGGTCCCAATAGGTATGTTAAGCTAGGCTGGGGATTATTTAAAGACCCTACTGTTAAAAAAGTCATCGATGAAAACACTCTTGCCCTAAAAAAAGGGGGTCCTATTCCCGAGATTCCTTTGTTTGTATTTCATGGAGAATTGGATAATATCGTTGCATACAAAGATGCAGTGAGAGCATATAATAACTGGTGTGAATGGGGCATCGATTCTTATGAGTTTGCTATTGACGAAACAACAGGACATATAACCGAATTTATAGAAGGAACACCGGCAGCCATTGCTTGGTTAACTAAGATGTTCAATGGGGAGCCACCAGTAAAAGGTTGCAAGAGCACCAAAAGGTTCACCAACCTCTTGTACCCAGGTGCAAACACGTCTGTCGCAGATGTGCTCTCAGGTTCAGTGAAAACCGTATTAGGTGAAAACTTTGGTCCAAATGCCGAAAATATTGATAACGGTGGTAGAAACGCTACTCATGTTAAAAGGTCTTTAGAAGGATTAGGAGTATCTTTGGATTATCCAATCGAAGCCTCCATGTAGAAGATTATGCTTTCTTATTCTTTACAAAATTGAGTGGGATAAACCAAAATCTACTTTAAGTTAAATTTTTATTTTTATAGTTTACATACAGAGTTTTTAATTGAAAGTACTAGACTAGCCTTACCCTTGTAGCATATACCTATAATATCTTCTGCTATCAGTCGGCTTGCAATATCAAAAGTTATTGCGACATTTTGTATTTTGGAGATAATGTCGTTTGCAGCTAGTTAGAAATTCCTGTTCAATTTAAATCCATAAATCCTATTGAATAACTTATTGTTAAATTTTATTTTAGTTTCCCCATAGTGATAGCTATTATTAAGAAGTTTAATTGTTCTCTTAGAAGCAAAGAAAGAATTTGCAACTACTGAAAGTTTTTTATTTTTTTGACTCATAGCGTCAAAATAACAATTAAAGACTTATACAATACACTCAATTTTTAAGGGGTTCCTCTATTTTTACCAGATACACAAGATCAATGTCCCAAAAACCAGATGTATCTACATTTGATATTAGGAAGCTTTCATTATTCAAGATCAACAACAAACAAGAGAATAAAAATGCGAGCTTAGCCGCTAGTGAGTGGTTTCATTTTCCTCAAAGATCTGATATTACTATAAATTTCTTCAAGTATCTGACAGATGCAAACAGCTTTCATATTTCTATTATATGGAAAGGAAATGTGTTAGTATGTTATATATTGCTACTTTGTTTTTGACATAATTTATATTAACAAGTTTAGGACCAAACATATTGGCACCAAGATACAAATAATTTTATCTCGTCTATTGGAAAATATCCTTCATTAGGATTCAAAATTGTAAGTCCAAAAGGTGAATTATTAAAAAGATTTCAAGTTAGTTTCAATACCACGGATGTATATGATACGTGTTGTAAATGTGTGGAAGGGAAATTGAAAGTGACCTTGAACAAGATAGATGCAATGGCCACAGGCGAGAACTCACAAATCTTAGACTACCCCAGTCAGAATAACCCAACAAGTTTAGAAGGGCAAATTAACAGGCGTTGGAAAAATGCCTCAAATAACCAAAACTGCTTTCAGCCATCACAAACCTTATGCAGATCACAGTATCTTCCTACCCCGAGACAACCTACATCTTTTTCACAATTAGAAAAATCTACATTACCCAATGTAGCTCTAGAACAAAGAAACCTGCATCAAGTTAATACATCACAACAAGTACTAGGTGTTGGTCAATTATATAATAATAATTTCTTACCACAGTATCAGCAGCCTCAAGGTTATTATACTCTGTACCAACCACCTTACGCATATTTCCAAACAAGCCCACAACAGAGCACGTTCAATGGCGATCTGCTAGTTCAAAATCAAAATTTGTGTATGGAACCTTGGAAAATAAACTGTGATCAAGAAATTCTATCCCATCCCAATTCTAAAGCATGCTTAATAGATCGGCCTTTGAATAATCATTTGCTAATTAACGGTCATGCGAGCCAAAATCACACCACAAATGAATCATTAGATTGTAATCGACCTGATACAAACATAAGGTCGAAAGCACGAAGAATATCCCATAACACGACCGATTTATCCGATAGAGATGAGAATAAAGGCAAACCCGCCATAAAGGAAGAAGAAATCCTGCCAATGGAGATAGGAAATAATATTATTTCAGTAAGATCGTCATCCATTCAAAAACCCCCAAAAAAGCAAGAGTCGAAACAGAAATGTGATTTGTTTAAAATGAAGGATGGCGAGCTAAAAAGATTAATTGGTCGAAAGTTGAAAGATAAAGAATTCATAAATTTTGTTGAGAGACTAGATAAAATAGTTTCGCAACCTTAAAAATTCTATATAATTAGTCTATAAAATCTAAAACAACAGAAACATCGCCATAAACCTTGATCCATTTCTTCACTACTAATCCATCGCTCAATTCAACTTCTTTAGAAGTGAGCTTGTATCCCCAAAGATAAGGTAGCAATTTGAACATAACAACCCAGTATAAAAGGCAAATTCCTAAACACATAACAGCAACTACAGCATAAGATGGCCAGCTCTCCAATCCCTTAGGATTAGGGCTTCTGGTTGAAGTAAATGGGGATACTGTTAAATATAGTGTAATTAATAATAGGAATACAGTTCCAATTAGACTGGATCTAATAGGTGCTCGTAATTCTGGACTTCTCTTTCGGATTATAAATATACCCACTGCAGTCAAACCGAGAAAAATTTGATTTGGATAGCCTTCTAACGCAATGATATAATTATAAAGGTCACCTTTGGGTGCTAAAATAACCAAGGTTGTTAAAGTACAACTAAGAACTAACGTTGGAAGAGGAGCTCCAAATGGCCAGTTTGAAGCCATAAACCTTGAGCCAGGAAGAAATCCCTCACGAAATACCTCTTGACTTACTCTTGAGATAGTATAGAGAACAACAAATATGTTTCCACCAGCACATAGAGCAACTGAGAATGTTAGAAACTGTTTTCCAACTTTATGTCCGAAAACCTTTTCAAATAGTAAAGATCCAATCAATTGGCCGCTATTGATAATTTCATCATGCGGTATTACCACTATATATGCTAAATTTGTAAACATATAGGCAATAGTTACTATTGTCAACGATAAAGGCCCAGCAATTTTAAATGTACTTATTGGGTCTTTAACTTCATTAGAAACAGTATGGGCTGAATTCCAGCCGTAGAATGAAAAACTAGCCTTAATAATTGCACCAGCGAATGTTGAAGAACTCACAGATGTCTTTGTCTTAAAAAAATCATCCCAATGAATGTTTGAATTTAAATGACTTATACTCGATGGTACAAATACCAGATAAAGACCAGTTAGAACCATAATCAATAACAATAACAACTTTAGAGCACCAATTATATTTTGAACTTTCACTCCATGGTTGTAGCTTATACCGTGAATGGTAGCAGCTATGTACACACAAAGTAAACCTGTAACTCTAGTGTGAAATTCGTCTGCCTTGACACCAATTGAGTGTAAAAAGTACTCCCCAAAGACCAAAGCATTCAGCATATTAAATCCAAACATGACGGAATAGATCAGAAAAACAACACATGCTAACATATATGGCTTTCCATATATAAATTCCAAAAACACTTTAGTACCTCCACTTCTAGGGACTAAAGAACCTAATTCCAAATACACATATAATCCACTAAATGACAATGCAGCTGCAAGTAACCATGAAAGAAAAAATAAAAATGGTGATCCACCTACATCTTGGTAAATACCTGAAGACGTAGCAAATATTCCTGATCCAACTATTCTTGAGACAAAAAGAACTACAGTCGAAAATAACCCTAGATGTCGCCCTTGTGGCACTTCTTCTAATTCTTGTAATTGAGATGACCTTCCTATCACATTTGGTTCTTCTTCAGGGCCCAACGATAACTGCTGATATTTGGGTGACTTACTTGAATCGATAGTATCTGGTATCCCTTTGAATAATATCGACATTCGTATTTCTCTGGAATCGCATAAAATATTAGATTTAGGTAAGAAGGATGCAATACTTCTTCTGCAAAAAAGAAGATAAGGGTACTATTTAAGGAGATTACGCAGTGCAATATTGGTAAACAAAAATATACGCGATGCTAAGCGGTGATAATAAGTCCAATATCATACAGATTTATAATTTGTATGTTTTTCTAATAAATTCTCCAGTATAAATTCTCCAGTATTTTAGTTGTTAATCTGCATTTCAATTGATAGGCTTTCAATATTGCACAATGAGAATGCACAGTTAAAGATTATATAGCTTTTAAAAATTTAGAAAAAAGAACTCAAATCTATACTTATATTAATTGACATATAAAAAAGTAAATAAATAGAATCACGACATAGTTCAAGCGTTCAAGGCTTTATTTTTGTTCTTAACATACGTTTCCTTTGCGAGCTTTGTAAGAGAATCTAACTCTCCACTGTTTTCACACATACTGTAGAATAAAGAATTCTTTTTTGAGATAAGGACATATGGATTGTCATATTCGACCACTCTACCAGCATCCATAACTAAGATCTTATCATAATCAACAATTGATCTTAATCTGTGCGCAATGGTCAAAATAGTTGAGTTAGAAAATTCTTGACGAATCGTTTGTTGAATCATGGCATCTGATTTATAATCAATGGAAGCAGTAGCTTCATCAAGTAAAATAACTTTAGGACTCTTTAATAATGATCTTCCTAAACACATTAATTGTCTCTGGCCCTGTGATAAGTTATTACCGCCTTCACTAACAGCAGAGTCAAGATTGGTGAATTTGTTCTGATTCTCACTAGACCCATTAGTACTACCGATTGTCAATTCATCTGAGCTGATCAAGTTTACACGTCTCAACGCCTCATAAATTTGAGCATCAGTGTATTGATCGAAAGGATCCAAATTGGATCTAATCGTGCCTGTAAACAAAGTCGGATCTTGAGGAATAATTGTAATTGCTTCACGCAAATTACGCAAACCTATCTTTGTAATATCTACACCATCGATAAAAATGCTACCTGTTTCAGGATCTAAAAATCTGAAAAAAGCAGTGATGATAGTCGATTTACCTGCACCAGTACGACCAACAATACCAATTTTATTGTTGGGTTCGACATCAAAAGTAACATTTTTAATAACTCTAGGCAATTCAGGAGCATATCTTAAAGAAACATCTTGAACGTTAATTTCACCTCTTTCGGGCCATGAAGCACGAGGTTCATTTTCAGGGATTTCCTGGGGTGGTTCTTGGTCAATTGTAAAATATTCCTGCAATCTTTCGACGGAGTTCATATTCATTTCAACAGTAGCATAAAGACGAACAACCCATAAGGCGCTTTCTGAAAATGCAATTGCATATGATAATGATAAACCAGCCAAACCGGCATCAATCTTACCAATTGAAAGCAATACAAAAATCCCAGAGAAAAACATTACCAATGATCCAACTGCATCAATACGGAATGATAACCATCTGTTGGCAACCCATAAGTAGAAAAATGGTCTATTATTCTTGTCAATAGAGTTCAAATTCTGTTTCATGAATCGTGTTTCAACACCATAGGCTCTAATACTAGCAACACCTGTCAAAGATTCAGAAAAATGTTGGTGAATTGGTGATTTAGTGACAGACTCAAATCTCTTTAATTCTCTTGAAGTAGTGACATAAAATATACCAACCAAGTAGTATAAGAAGGAGATAATTACTGCAAAAAACAAAAATCCTGGAGTAATAAACGTAATAAGGATTAAGGTAGAAACACATTGCACAACGCAAATGAATGCACCTTCAGCAAATGGCATAAGCTCCTGATCGACAGATTCTATGTCCTTCGAAAATCTATTCATAATACGTCCCTGAGGAGTTTTATCAAAGAACCTCAATTTAGCTCCTAAAACAGTTGTCAATATCTTCTTAAAAATACTATTTGATGCATGAATTCCAGCAAAGAAAGTGACAACAACTCTAATGCATGCAAAGATTGAATAACTGACACCGATAACAGCATATATAGAAATATAATATAAAGTGTTATTTTCTTCTTTATAGGTGTTTACTCTGGAAACAGTAGATGCCACCAAACCCGAGGCTCCAACAATAGTATTAACAATTGGTAGTTGTCTAAGTTGAGAAAAATCGTAAGTTGTCCCAACAGAAGCTAACGCAATTTTGTTCATAAGAAACTGACTAGATTTCTCACTATCTAATGACCAGTTTCTTAACCACCATGATTGGAACATGTAAACAGCTTGAGAAACAGTGTAAGTAAGAATAATAATAGCCCAAGTTGGGATGCCACCAAGAAGCTTGGCATATCCACTGTAAACATCGAATCCAACAACACCACTAGACTTTCCCTCTTCTTCGACTAATTTGCCATCAGTTTTAACGTCAGCTTCAGGTTGGTCTGCAATTGTTTGTAACTTAGCTTCAATCGCGGCGCTTTTAGCTTTCATTTCTGAGTTTTTATCTTCCAAAGATTTCAAGTTGACGGAGGATTGAGTACGTGAATTTGCGAAAGAAGACGCAACCAAATCGTCGTCTCCCAAGTCACCAGCTTTCAATAAGTCTTCAGGATTGCCTTGAGTCTTAACTCTACCATTTTCCATAACAACAATCCATTCAGCCTTTTGAACAGTTAATGCAACATTATGAGAAATCAAAATGCAGGTCCTATTTTCCATTAAAGGTCCCGAGATACAATTTTCATAAATCCATAAAGCTGTATGTGAGTCAACAGCTGACAAACAATCATCAAGTAAAACATTTTTCGAATTTGAATACAAAGCTCTGGCTAAAGAGACTCTTTGTTTTTGACCACCAGATAAGGTAATACCTTTTTCACCAATTTCAGTTGCATCCCCAGCACTTAAAATTTCAAGATCACGCTTTAAACCACAAGCTTCAATAACTTTGTCATAACGAATCTGATTGAAAGGAGAAGAGAACGTAATATTATTTTTGATCGAGTCATTCAATAACCAGGCTGACTGCGAACAGTACGCTACGGAATCAGTCAAACCAGTTCGTGGATCAATAACCAAATGGTCTCTTGAGATAATGCCAGGTAAGAAAACCTTACCAGATATTAAATCCATTTCTCCTAACAAAGCTAACAACAATGACGTTTTACCAGAACCAGTGGGACCTATAATAACATTCAACATTCCTTCTTTAAAATCAATATTTATGTCTCTCAATTTAAAATCATTTTCCGATTTTAAGTTCCAGGCAAAAGAGGCTTCTTCAAATCCAATAGTTGGGGAGTTCGGACCTGGCGACTGTCCTAACTGTTCGTATTTTGAAGTTTCTTCTTCATTCAAAAAATCACCAATTCTATCTAAAGAAACTTTAGATTGAACAACATATGAAGTCATATCAGACAACTGATCTAATGGAGTTCTTAACAAGGTGAATAAAGATAATGAAGTGAATGCGATAGGTGCTGTTAAAGTATTACCTTCAATAACAGTGTAACAGTAAAATGAAAGTAATGTAATTATGGTTGGCGTAATAAACCAAACAAATGCACCAGCAGCCCAACATGCCATTCTTAATCTCAATTCATGTATTTCTTCGTTTCTGACTTTCATAATACTTTCGAAGAATTTATTTTCCCACGCAAAAAATTTAATAATCCTAATACTTTGGAAAGTTTCATTCAACTTTTGAATTCTTTTATCCGTAATTGCTAACATTCTCTTTTGTAAACTAGCTATGTACGAGGCAATCTTGTAATTAATTGGTAATAACGCAACAATTGAAACAGCCCCCACTAAAGCACTCCAACCTAATAAACCATACAACAAGCTAATACAAATAACGATCATAAAAAGTGCACCAACAAAAAAATGGAGATAGCCACATATCTCAGACACTTTAAAAGCATCAATGGACATTAAATTAATAATTGCACCTAATTCAGCAGTATTACTGGGGTCTTCTTTATCGTTTTTCGTTTTCTTGTCTTTATTTTTCTTACTCTTTTTAGACTTGTCGTCTATGTTAGAGTCTTTTTTTGAAACCTCAGAAACTGTAATTTTTCTTCTCAATGCTTTTGCATAAATTTCACCAATAAGAATGGCTTTCATTCTTAAACAGACTCTCCTACCCAAGAATAAAGAACAACCAGACGCAATAGAATCAAGCATCTTAATAAATGGCATTAAGCATACTAGAGTCCAGGCTAAATTCTTTGGAGTAGATACTGGGTTTTCTACGTATTCTAAAATTCTCTTCAACAATAATGATGGAATGAATACTGTTATAGATTCAACAACAGCCCAGAATGCCTGAATTGCAAACAAGTATTTAAAGTGGGAAAAAAGTTTAATTGTGAACTTTGCCGTCGATTTACTAGCTTCGAATGACTGTAAAACAAGGAGGGCATAATCTTCACGCCTCAAACTCCAAATATCATTCATCTCTAAAGGATTCTTATAAGCTTGAAAAACCATCTTATCTAACCACGAATAAGTAACGAATGACAAAATACTAGAAACTGTCTCTGGAGATGGCTTGACACCATCAGTAGTTATATATAATTGTGAAGGTTTATCCCCAACAGTAGCCGTGAAATTCAATATTAATAGTATAGAAGCAATGACAAACTCTGTAATATAGAATGTACGAACTGTTTTATTTTTAATATGTCCAATTAAAACAGATCTGAAAATAAGGATGGAAGGGAAGAAGTTGAAGAAATATAATGTGGTGGAATGAACCCACAAATTGGGTAAACGAATGGTAACCTTCTTCAAGTTCATAGTACGGATAGTACATATAATAAACAAATAAGCCCAGAACAAAGCTTTTGTAACAGGGACATAAGGTGTAGCTCTCCATTCCTTACGAAGGTCCCTGACAAAGAATGACGAAAGAGCAATACCAAATTGCAAGGCAACTAGTAAATACTCAAGAGACACTCTGAATCTTTCACATGCATTCTTATACACTTCCTGGGTATGGCCATGTGGTGAACCATCCTCATTAGTATCGCTCAATCCATTAAGGTCGAAATGAGCTTTTTTAATCGCATCTTTCCTGGGTTCTTCTTGCTCAATCGTCCCGTACGCCCCAGAATTAGACAAGAGAGGTCTCGTTTCCCCTTCTTGTAGTTTGATAGTCTTATCTCTCTTTAATATAGATTTCGTACTTTTAACCACTAAAATCAGCGATGATGCTATTAATAATATTAGCGGTATGCCAAAATCTAAATAATTATCTCTTGAACACCTTGTTATATCATCGAATACCCAAAAGGGGCACGTAGTATTCTGATACAGCATTATACGTGTTTATAAATAAAAAATCTCCGAAGGATAAGGTAGAAAAATAGAGGACTTAAAAATACATGGGATTTTTCACCTATTTATTACTGCACAAAAATTGAAGCCGCATATTAAAATCTTCTTCATAATGTAGAGTAATGTTAAACTATGACTAATAAGCCGATCTCTTATCATCCTTGACATAATCAAGACACGAATGACATTCACAATTACAAGTAATAAAGTAGTAGATGAAGAGGAGAAGGAGGATTGCAATTGGCCAATTAGTCATATATAATGGCAATCGCAAATTATCCGAAGAAATAATTGAGGACGTATGAGAAAGAGGCACTAAACTGTATATATACGACAACATATACAATAAGTGCCTGACTGTGGCTATCAGTAGGTCGTTTCTGTATATAATGACTCATTAGAGGGGATGGACTAGAAAAGGATGTATCTGGCGTAAAAACCAATCTATACCGCGATTATATAAAGCAAAAGGCGATAAGCGGACCAGGTGTTACTATTATAGAAAATTGCCTTTCGTAGAACAATAGACAGGTTGAATTCGTACATGTTGTATTTAGACATTCCTAGAGATACAGTTTATGTATTAATTAATGCACAAAGGATTTAGAAAACCTACTTAAGATATATAAACGAAAAGGGATAGTAACAAGTTAAGAAGAAAACCATAATGGTCTTCGTCACAAAATCTAATCTTGAGTCTTTTGAGTACCACGTAACAAACCAGTTCTTCTGGCGGCGATTAAACCAGCCTTTTGACCTGGAACAGCACCTCTGGAGATAGTAGAAGCCTTACCAATATGTTGATGGTTACCACCACCATGAGGGTGATCAACTGGGTTCATAGCAACACCTCTGGTCTTTGGCCAAGAGTTACGCTTAACCTTGTATTTGTGGAAAGCTCTACCAGCCTTTAATAATGGTTTATCAATTCTACCACCACCGGCAACAACACCGATGACACCTCTAGCTTCGGAAGAAAGAATCTTCTTAGCACCAGATGGTAACTTAACTCTGGTCTTACCTTCGTCTTGGTTGTGTCCGATGATAATAACGTAGTTACCAGAGGTTCTACCTAAAGCACCTCTGTCACCAGACTTTTCTTCGACGTTAGAGACGATGGTACCTTCTGGCATAGACCCTAAAGGTAAAACGTTACCGACGTTTAAGGAAGCCTTCTTACCAGCATAAATAAATTGACCAGTGTAAACACCTTCGTTAGCAATGAAGGTTTCTTCTCTCAACTTGTACTTGTATGGATCACGGAAAGAAACCTTGGCTAAAGGAGCACCTCTACCTGGGTCGTGGATGATTTGCTTGACAATACCACGAATGTAACCATGACGTTCAGCATAATCTAAAGTTCTTAACTTGGCAGCACCCTTTCTTAATCTGGTGTGCGAGGTGAAGATAGAACCAGCACCCTTTCTTTGGTTACGAATAACTCTACCTATAGTCTTTGTTAGTATTTTGTACAATAATTTAATTACGTCCCCGTTATTTCATTATCAAGTCAGATATCTCTTGCATTCTTTAGTTTCTGAGGACTATGGGACAAATATATCTTTTTTACAACTATGTTAGTTCACGTTTATTCCTAATTGATTCCAAACAATCATTTGTACCTAAACATTCGTGTTCATCTGCCAATCCTAACAAGTTCCATATTTCAAATTACTTCATCTGTTTCATTTTTCCTTATAACAAGACATTGAGATCAAACGTGGGACCCACATTTAACGTATATAACGTCTTCTACATACCCATTTTGCTATTGAATTAAGTTTTGGTCTTAAAACGAAAACTAAAGTGTATATTATAGTGATTAATTATGTAGGACAACCAAAGTGAAAATTGAGAATTTTTCACGCACAAAAATATTTCATGGTCACAATGATCATATGGTATGTGTTAGGGCTGAGACCATAATGTGATGGTTTTGCTACAATTATTTAAGACAGATGTATTTTAACATTAATAAAATGAATTATTAACTATAAATAATAATACTTACATAACAAATCACTTTTATCCATTTATATTTGATGAGGTTAGTTATTGCTTTTCATCTTGAGAGACTTCTTCTTGCGAGTTTTGTTCTTCTGCATCAGACTTTGGAATTCTGGCATCTATGGCAATGTCCACAATGATTTCTCTACCGTTTAATTCCTTACCATTGAAGTCTGCAATCGCTTGCTTTTGCAAGTCTTCGCTCGAAAACTTGACAAATGCAATACCCTTATTAAAGACAGTTCTACCCTTACTCTTTTGTCTCTTAAGAATGTGATATGGTACTCTTCTGGTAGGAACATGGATCCACTTTGGTTTCAATTCCTTGAAAAGATTGTTTAATGTCTTGACGTCAACCTTGTAATCCAAATTGGTGATGAAGATGGTGTCGGCGGATGCCTTACCGTCAGGGATTTTATCCTTTGGGTCTTCACTCGAAGTTGCTGCGTCTGGGGTAGTGCCGTCAGCGGTGACAGCCTTTTTAGCAGCCTTCTTCTTGGTCTTCTTAGGCTTTGCCTCGCCATTTGCTTCTTTCGTCAGGGCATCGTCAGACTTCGTGGTTTGATCTTCCTTGTCTGTCTTTTCTGCCTTCTCGGCCTTCTCTTCAGCCCTTTTGGCTTTCTGTTCCGCCTTCTTGGCCCTAAATGCCTCTATTTTCTGTTGCTTTTCCTCTTCTGTTGGTGGTGGAACCGCCTTCTTCACATAGATGTTTCTCCCCTTGAATTCCTTTCCATTAAAATCCTCAATCGCCTTATCAGCATCTGCCTTGTCCTCAAATTGAACAAATGCAAATCCGAGATGCTTATCAATGGTTTTCTTCCCACGGGTAAATGTTTTGCTTGGAATATCAACTTCGGTGCTACAATTGTTAGTATTCTGCAATTATCTCGCAATACAGCTTCTATACGAAAGTCCACATGCTCTGCAGTTGCTGGTTATCTGCCCAATTACATTGGATCTTCCCCATGATCTTTTATACGTACACTTTTAATCCATCGAAGAATTGTTTCAATTCTTCTTCGTCCGCCTTGTAATCGACATTTCCAATGTAAATTCTTTCTTCAATAGGTTGCTTAGTTTCTTCAGTAGACATCTTTAAAATTTCAATTCTTCAGTGAGGGTGAGGGTTAAATTCAATAACTTTTTGGTATATAAAAAACTCAAAACTTTCAGAGTATATAAATGGATGACAGTAGTATTTTTCAAAAACAATTGACTTAACTGGTGATTTGATTGCTAGATTTTTGTATCTGTTACGGAAAAGGCCATATACTGTTCGTTCTATCTACTACTGGATGGCAAACCTACCACCAACTGACCGCGACTGAACATCTACAAAAAAGGACCAGGGTTCAATTCAGCGATCGATCAAAAACCCAATTATCGGACGATTATCAGAGGTTCTTGCACCAATGCTAAAAAATAGACCGATGGGTTCATAAGAGACATCCACGTCCATAATAACATAGTCAATGTAGACAAGTAACGTATAGCGATAATTGAGTCGTTGCCAATCGAATCATCGAGATAGGTTATTTCCACGTGATAGTTGACTATGATGCACCGAAGACGTAGAAACATTAGATAGCTAGTGGAAGTCTGGGGATAGCTTTGGGAAGCCGATTACAGTATTGTAGTAGAATTGAGATGAAATACAATAAATATATATCTAATTACTATATGCACAGTATACTAACGATTAAGAAAAAAATAAAAAAGGAATAAAGCAAACTACTTTGGCAAAACAAATCAAAAATGTATACTTTTTTTCTAGAGAATAAAAATGGTGGTAATGAGAAAACTGCGTACACATGAAGATGCATAGGCGATTTTCTGATAAACTGAACTTCGGAAGCTATCATTAATTTGAAAATTTTGAATGAGCGATACATTTTTTGGAACAAACGGACATATGCCTACCTACAAGCGATAGACACATCCCCGTCTGTTATGCGTGGCCAATGGTCCCTATGGGGCTACGTTAACCCATCTGAAAACAAACATAATTATTTCAATTTGTTGAACAATCTTGGGGCAACACAATCGTTGACACAGTGCTGTAAGTGGAAGAATTCTTCAACACAGTCTTCTTTGTATGGCTTATGATCGTAGTCTTCTTCCTCTTGTTCCTTGGTGACTCTTTCGATACATTCTTCAAAATGGTGAAGGTGTGGCTTACAAGTGTCGGTGTTAGTACATTCTTCACGTAAAGTGTCTAATGGATCAACAGTTTCTTCTTCATCTTCATCCTCCTCGTCTTCATCTTCATCTTCATCGTCGTCACCTTCTTCAGCATCACCCGATTCCTTGTCATCACCTTCTTCGGCATCATCACCAGATTCCTTGTCTTCACCTTCGGATTCTTGAGTGGATTCTTCTTCTTCAACAGGTTCTTCTTCAGCTGGCTATAATATGGTTAGAATTTCTCTTGCAGAAACACAATGGTCGATCATACTTTAGATCGACTTATGTCTTCATCTCGCAAGCTCAATGTGCTCCGAAATCGTCAAAAATGGCTGTACATACTTCTTCAGCGTAAGCAACTGGGAAAGCTGATTCTATTAAATCCTTTAAGAATGACATTATGGCGATTACTTATAATATAATGTATATAATATAATTTTCAGTTATTAATTAAATCTATGTAAACTATGTTCCCAAATTTCTACCATTGAGTAAATGAGAAAAATCAAAACTGTTATTGGCCAGAAATTAGAACCTATTACCCGGACCACAACTGAAAATTTCATAGACATATATAGTAGATAATACAGTATACGAGAGACTATCACCAGAAATTAAGTAGATTCAGATGTATTAAAGTACTTGGAACGACCGATTATATATAATTATTAGATAACTATAAACATGAGATTTAAGCACGGACAGTTGGATCGACTTCTAAAGCCTTAGCCTTTCTGGCGATCTTGTCGTTGGACTTAGAACCCATGACACCACCACCCCAGTGTTTCTTGGAGTCTTCGTACTTTTCGATGAAGTTAGCGTTGATAGTAGAAACTAACTTGGCTAATTCAGCTTCGTCAGCGGAGGTGACTTCAGTTAAAGCAGCGACGGAGGAGGTCTTCTTGTGGACTAAAGTACCTAATCTGGCCTTACCCTTCACAATGGCGTATGGAACACCCATCTTTCTACATAAAGCTGGTAAGAAGATGACTAATTCGATTGGGTCGACGTCGTTGGCAATCAAGACTAATTTGGCCTTCTTGTTTTCGATTAAAGAAACAACGTGGTTTAAACCGTATTTGACGACAACTGGCTTTGGAGAAGCGTCTCTGGCGGACTTACCTTCGGCAACAGCGGCGGCTTCCTTGGTTAATCTTTCCTTCTTTTCAGAGGCAGTTTCTGGTCTGTATTTGTTGAATAACTTGAAAGTTTGGGCAGCGGTGTTCTTGTCCAAGGTGTTTTGGAATTGAGCAATAGCTGGAGGAACCTTCAATCTCAAAGACAAGATCTTCTTTTGTCTTTGTAATCTAACGTATTCTGGCCATCTGACAAATCTAGATAAGTTTCTCTTTGGTTGGATATCTTGACCAATACCGAAGTTCTTTGGTCTAGATTCAACTAATGGGTTCTTAGAAGAAGCAGTCTTGGTGGACTTAGAAGCTAATGGTGCTGGAGCAACCTTCTTACCTTTTGGAGCCATTTTGATATATAATAACTTGAACAAGCAAATATGTTTGTAGATTGTGAATTTTTATTGTAGCTGAATTTTTCACTATAGTGAGCAGAAGCTCGTCACCGAAAAAAATTCTACGAATCAAATCCTGTACATAAACTGGTTCCATTTTATCATGTGATGAGATGTGACTGCGTTTCGGAAGATGAGCATTTTGCAGTAATAGAAGGGTATGATACGGCAGGGAGATCTGGATCATGGGGGCGATAGTGATGACACGAAGGTTAAAGATAAAGGTGAAGTTTTAAGCAACAAAAGAAGAAAAAAATCCGAGCGGGAGATGGCAGAATAAGGTGAAATTAAAAAAATATTGTAGTCGTCAAATAGTGTGATTGTTCGAGAATCATTTCATCTTCGTAGTTTTTCAGTCAAGTCACTAGTAGTCTGCTACACTACAAGATTTGTGTAATTAGTCATATCTATAATACCTAAATTCCAGAATTAAGGTGCATATAAAATTAAAGGATATAAAAAGCGCACAGATGTGCCATTTGAATGTAATTAGTGAATTAAACGAAAAGTATTAACAAAAGTGTATTAAAACCGAAATAAGGGCCATTGGCCAGTCTTTTCATCCACGGAAGTCTATTTAGCATTAACATGGATGTAATTTTTTTTTTTGCGGCATGCCTAGTATTAAATTATTGTTTGCTGCAATCGAGCCACCTCGAGTTACACCATCCCTTTACGGTATATTGCAGTTTCGTGTTCCCTCCCTGTGGAGATTGGTCATTGTAAAAGCACCTGCTATTACTCAATACCCCTGCTGGTTCGGTGTAGTAATGGCCGCCTCCTGCCGCTACCCTTTTCTTGTTGTCGCCCACATATACGTAGCTCGAAGAGTCGATGTATGCACATGGACAATCGTCGATTCGGGGTGGAAGTATCACGTTGTCCCATAGCTTGTCTCGAGACATGTTCGATACGCTGATGATGTTGTAGCGTCGGTGGAACTCTTTTGTCGCACGTGACTTATTAATTACGTACGACAACTCCCGACTCGAATACGAACAGGGCAAGGTGCTTCGACACCTAGCCTCGTAGTCGATGGCATATAGCCGGAGAAAAGATGAGTTCATACGAGAGTCCCTGCCTCTGTATCGGTTCTCACGGCCAGGCAATTGCAGTGCTGGATGCATCGAATTTCCTGATGCGCACTCGCGCGTTGCGGCTCCCTCCAAATGTGAAGCCTCGTCTGCTCTCTCGTGACAGGCAAGGCCTGGAACTGCGTCGTCTGTCATTCTGGGGGATAAGTACCCAGGATGTGACAAGACCGAGTAAGAGGTCCTGTGGATCGATGTCTTGAGCACCCTAAACGCACGGGCAAAGTTTGACACTGCCAGGCCCTTTACACGAGTCTTCTGGTCCTGCAGCCTTGCTGTACGCATGTCTTTGTTCAAGCTGCTCAAAAGACTATCGGTGGCCAACATGTCCGGCTTCAAGCTCCCATCAAAAGGTATGTTCACGGGCGAGATATTCGAGTCAGATACCGACTTTTTGGGTAAGTAGTGCAATGAGCTCACCGATTTTGGTGCATTATTATTGCTCTCATTTGAGAAAATGGAACTCCACGATTCGGATAACGCCTCGTCTTCATGACAGCTCCCCGTCAAATTCCCGTCTTCATCGTCGTATTCTGAAACATCGCCTTCGTCATTGCTCATATTCTCATCTATACTGCCTTCATCATCTATCTCTGCCATGCTTTCAACTTGGTTCGCCTTCGTAAACAAGCTAACATACAGTACTATATTTTCGGCCTGGATGTTACAAGCTTCGTTGACCAACCCATCTTTCTCACAACAGCTTCTAGGAGTCCTTTGATACTGGTCGTCTTTTATCCTATTGGGGTGGCTTATTTTCATAGTACCATCGTGATAATAGTCTTCAGGTGCCCCAGTCAATAGTACCGCATTTGCTTCATTTGCGAATCTTATAGGCCCTTCACCTCTGACTTCTTCAATAGGTCTACCCATAATACTCACAATCTATGCGTCCATCAATAAAGTGAATATATTATATTATAATACTATGTTAAGAACTATAGAAGAAAAAAATATTAAACAGCAATTTTCGTTCTCCAATAAGAGTAAACTGGAACTTTTTTACTAAAATACTCCTCGTGTGTTAGGTGTGCATATAAATAATTGCGTCCAACAATTGACTTCCTTCGTATTTGTTAATACCCCGGACAAAATAACCCAAGAAGACCAAATGTAGTCTGTACTCTATACAAGTGGTTGCAGCTATGATCTATAAGTGACATGGTTGTTTATGTAAATGTACGATCATAACAAATGTCTTCTGGCGGCAGGCTCGGCCACTTCGTAGTCTAAATCGTCCAAATCATCGAGCTCTAAGTCATTTCTGTTATCGGTCGTATTTGCGACCAAAGAATAATCATTCATGGGGGTTTTCTTACCGTAGAACTCATCAAACAATCGGTCGATATCCTCCAATTCTGCACCCTTTGTTTCGGGGTAGAAGTAGTATACAACCAACACCGAAATAATACAACTGCACATTGGGAAAATGTACATAACCCAGCCAATTGATTCCTGGAGGATGGGGGTGAGTTGGCCAACGATGTAGTTGCTTAGCCAGTTTGTGGCGGTGGAGAGTGATACCCCCTTGGATCTCACAGCCAATGGATATACTTCTGGAGGAATCAAGAAACCAATGGGGCCCCAACTATAGCCAAAAGATGCGTTATAGATGATAACGAGCATTGCGACCATCGATGGAGTGAATGATCGGTTGAGGTACATGATGTAGGAGATAAGAGCAAAACATACTGCCATGGACAAGCCACCACTGATAAGAATTGGCCTGCGGCCCCATTTGTCGACGAGAAACCAAGGAGGAATGGTGGACGCTAGGTATACCAAGCCGTTGATACCGGTCATTAAGAGTGCTTTGGAGTCGTTGAAGCCTGCTTCGGCAAACACCATAGGCGCATAGTATGATATGATATTGATACCGTTGAACTGGGCAAATGCCAATGCCGAACAGGCAATTAACACTCTTGTTAAGTAGTTAGCAAACATCTTACGCCAGCTTCTTTCGGCCTTTGGAACTAACTTTCTTTCATTCAAAATCGAATTCTTGATCAAGAAGAACTCATTACGTGGTTTATCATCATCCGGCGAACTGTCGTATAATAAACATAATACATGGAAGCCCTGTTGATCGCTGTCGACATCAAGCAACCATCTGGGCGATTCGACCACAAAAAAACCACCGAGAAGTAATACAAATGCGATTGCAACTTGTATGAATAACGGAAGTCTCCACGATAAGTTTGCGGCAAAGGAATGAGGATTTTCTCTAGCATCGTCAATATCTTGAATAAAGTAACAGAAATAGTCTACCCAAACACTTAAGGCATATCCTGCTATATTACCAGTGAATTCACCACAAACTAATTTTCCTCTCTCTTCCGATGGAGAAATTTCACACTGATAAGAAGGAACCATGGTGGATAAAATACCCACACCAAAACCACTGATAACTCTTCCAACACTAAAAACGTATAAATTTGTAGCGAACGTTTGTAACAATCCCCCGATCATGAAAATGACCGTCCCCAATAATATGGTCCTCTTCCGGCCAAACCTATCGGATATTTTCGACACAAGCATCGACGAAATCATAGCCCCTATTTCTAAAATGGATATTATAGCACCCACCTCCGATGAAGTGGGTTCATTAAAATACTTTATAAATGTAACAAAGGTTAAAATACCAGAACAAACCCCCTGCTCGTATCCGAACAATGAAACAAATAGCGAAACAAACGCAGAGGTGAAATACACCAACCTATTCCCTTTGAACTTCAACTTCAGCGTATACTGTCTTGAATTAAAATCAACGTGATCATATCGGTTACCAAAATCATCAGTATATGTATTATTATCTGTCCCGTCTGACGAATGCGACCCAAACTTAACTGGATCATCACTTTCGTCATCCGTGCTAGACTTATGTTCGTGAAAAGACTCAAAAAGGGTCCTCTTATCGCCAAATTCATCCTCTTCCAGAGTTAGCTTCAAATTCTTATTACTTATAGGTCTCTGGTTCTCCTTCGTCAGTGAATTAGTTAATTGCTGGTTATGCGTCTGAGGTAAACCCGACACATCCAGGTTGAAAAGCAACGTATCTTCATCTGAAGTATCGTCATATGAATTAACAGATCTAGATACCATTCTCTAACGCGTATATACAACTTGATTCATTAAGATATTATACTGATAATATATTAGCATAAACATTAATAGAAACTTGGGGACTAAATATAAAAATATGGAGTGAGGGTCAGATTATCATAACCACTCTCCCAAAATTCCGAACATTCGTGTTGAATACATATATTAGACATAAAGCCAAGACATACAATATATACTATTTCAATAAATAGATGCCCAACTGTTCTATTTCTGAGCACGCTTAATGTAGCTTTCAATGTAAAAAGCGGCGAATAAGGCAGTTAATGGGGTCAAATAGGCCACATTAATGATTAATGGTAAAGCTTGGTCGGAAGAGCCAATACAGTTTGTGATCTGACCGGTTGATAAATCTGTGTACCAAATGAAGGCATGGACTACAGCCAAAGAACCTCCAAGCACAAACTGGGTAATTTGCATTGATGTTAAAGTTCTCTTGAACATGTTTGGAACCTTAATTTTCAAGCACGATAAGGTGAAGTAGAAGTACATCAAAGAGTGTATGAACGAGTTGAAAATGACAAAGATCCATATTGGAGGAGAACGATATCTGATACCAGCCCACATACACATCATGGCACCTGCGTGATGGTAGCTTTGCAATAATGACGATGGTCTACCCTTTAATAAGATGATAATGGTGTCCAACACCTCGTAGAACTTTGATACGTAGAACCAGAACCCAAACAGAAGCAAACTGTCGAGTGGGGTTGACTTAGTGCTGAAAACACCAAGATCTAAATCACACACCGATTGGAAAAATTGTTGGAAACGGCTGGGGTTCGTGAGTGGCTTCAAAGATTGTATATTCTGGTAAATCGAACGGCTCATACCCACAAAAGTCCACACAGAGTACCAGCACAAGAATATATTGTGTAAGAGGACAAATAACTTGAATAACTTGTATTTGGCAATCGCAAATGGTGCTGCTGGTAACCTCTTAATTTCCTTCTTTGTTAAGTCTTTGACATTTTTATCCTTCAATGCTGCCTTTTTAACTTGTCTTTGACGAATAACGGGGTTGACAAAGTGAACAAATGAAAAGTACACAATTGCTATAGTCAATGGAGTAGATGTTTTCATGCAAAATTCGTAAAACTTGACCAACCACTCTTTTTCAAACGGAGCTGGCGCCAAAGGTGTGTTTCCTTGTGGAAACTTCCATAAATATTGACTTGGGAGACCAAACTCAACAGAATGATTCATAATTTTCATCTTTACAGCCAATCTTAACTAAATGCAAAATATAAAATTTTGTCGGACTTATATACTTTTTTCCTACTTTTGCGGGCTGCATCCAAATTTTTGTTGGATTTGGGCCTTTCTGTGATACCGAGGAACAAGATATGTTCAAATTATATATACTGCTCAATAATTATATGAATCGCATAAACATTTACTAGGATTGTATACTTTATAACTCTAGTTATCATAGCGAGACAACTGTAGCCAAATTCAATTTAGTTCTTAGTAAATATAGGTGTATGCTTGAAATATATGTATTACGGCGACTTTAATACATTCAGGGACCATAAAATTATCACGTTTCCTTATATACTATACGAACTATATATAACTATATCTTCTAGGATTAAATTACTTATTGATGTTATAAACTATAGGATATGGAATAAAATACAGCAAACGGAATTCATTTCTTTTTATTACCCAAATTATTGGGCTTGTCGTTAACGGGCTGCGAAAAAAACAATACAAAATTCCAGTTCGGACTACAATAGCATCAAAGGAGTCGTAAAATTCGAGACGTAAAATTCGTTACTAGCCTATATAATGAACATAATTGTTAATAGATTGTAAAGGAGTAGCATAATCTATTCTTGGGAGAGCAAGCGGGTTTTGGTTTTGATTTTGGAGATATTTTTTAGATTTTCCACCGGTTGCATAATTGGTAATGGGCTTTAATTTGTTGGCCACCGGATTAGAAACTTCGATGATAGGGTTTAGTTGCAAGTACAGCTTATCTAAAATCAAGAAGTTTTTCTCTCTCAAGTATAATGTCAAGTTGTTAATCGCCACCGATACATCACTGGGTGCAAAATAGCTCAACATTATCTCGTGGTGTGAGTTTTCGGCGGTTTTCACACTGACCTCGATTTTGAGCAATACCTTAAACGGTATGATGATTCTGTCATGAAATTCTTTATTAAACCTGCTGATTTCATTGTCGAATCTACCCGGGCAGTAGGTGATTCTGAATTGATAGTTTTGTGGTAAAAATTGACACAACTTCTGAGCACAGAGGATGGACTTGGTATCAGAACCCTTGATAGGAATGATTAATTTATCGGCATTACCAAACTCTTCAATCGAGTCTGGGAAGTTGATATATGTATTAGTTTCAATCTCCAAGTTGTTTATGAATTTCAAGTTGTAGTTCTGATTCACCATTAACACGTAGTGACTTTTCCGCAACTCAAAATTAGTGGTATTATATATCGTTCCTCCGTTAGTGACTGGTTTGTTATTCAAACAACAATGCATCACAAGCTGGCCGATTTCCTGTTTGACCAAGCTAATATTCTTCGAGTTTTTCTTTGGACATTTGATCAACACATTGTTGCATCTCTTGAACGAATAGAATATCTTATCTTGCGATGAGTTAAAATTACTCGAGAATTTGATGAAAACATTATATTTCTTCATAATGGACTGAATTATCGATCCACCATTACCAATAATTGACTTGTGAAATACTTCAGGGATATTAAATTTAAGTTCAGCTGGTAATTCCAATTCAATCAATTCGATACCGGTCATCAAGTTACTGATTACCAAGTCATTATCGCTAATTAATTTCAAGTCAATAAAAAAGTTATACTCATTAAACGGATTAAATTTAATGATTGCTAAATTATTTAACTGGTTCAAAATCTTGATTATCTTACCATTTTTCTTACCACTTATGAAGTCCTTTTGGTCATTATTGATTTCAATTCGGAGATTGATTGTAAAATTATTCAAAACGCTATGCCAAAAGTAATAATTTGCATTCAATTTGCTTAGTATTTGTTTAATTTCTTGACTCAGACCATTAATTTCAATACCATTTTGGTTATAGGTTATTATGCAAGTTTTCTTCAAATGCATCAAATTGATAAGGTAGTACTCAAGTTCTTTGTTAAAATAGTTACGGAAATTGATATTTATAGTATAATAATCAGAGCTTAGCAATGTGAGTTCATGTATTGATTCATTGATACTTTCAATTGATTGTCCCTGAACTTTAATCTTATAATTATCAACTTCTCCTAGAGAAGGCACTTGAATAAAAGTACCGTATTTGAACATTATACCTAGAATATTAGATTGATTAAATAAAGTGATCAAATCAATTTTAACTTTGGTAAGATCGATTTCCTTTATGACGAGGGTGTTTTGTTCCTCTAATATACGGTTGATTAAATTCTTCAAAATGTCTTTTGTTATTAAAATCTGATAGATTTCTTTAGATGTGATCCAAATTTTTAGGTTCTTGGTAGTATCTAAAATTTTAGAATTAAATAATTCTGGCAATAAATCTGGGATATAAATGTTCGAATCCAGTTGTTTGGCAATTTGACTGAAATTAAATAATTCGATACCTCCTATAATAGGAATTAATGACAAGTCAATATCAACAGAATCTATATGGAAGCCGTTTAACATGTTATCAATAAGGATTCTAACTTGGGACTCGGTAATGGTTATATTATCTTGCTTTCCCAAAATATAAATATAATAGTTTGTGCTTTTTTTATCCACATTCTTGAACTCAGTATCTATATTATCAATTAATATTTCAACATTATATCCTAAACTCAATTTATTTAACATAACCAAGAATTCACATGGATCATTATCTAACTTGCGAAACTCATTAGTAGACAATTTAATCTGTTTATAATTAACTTGGTTATAGCTTTGTAATATTCTAATTCTCGAGTCATTAATAAAATCCTTGGTACCATTAATAGATACTGTGATCAATTGATTATTTACCTGTGGTTTAATTGTACTTATATAATTCTCGCTTGTTTGATTGATTTTTTTTACTTCATTTTCAATTGACCCCAAATTATCAATTACTCGAAGATTAGTTTGGACATTAGAAGAAATTATATTTTCACCTACTTGGTAATGATTCCATAGTCCATTATTTGTTTGAAAATACGTAGTATTGGATGAATTAACTAAGTAGCTGTATTCCAATGTAAGCAAAACTAAATTCTTGTCCATTTTATATTTGAATCTCCGTAAATTGGTACAATATTTTGAATTCTAAAGAAGTACCAGGGTATATAAATAACTGATAATCATATATAGTGCTGTTAGGAAATTTTATATGGATTATCTTATCGTTTGTTTATTTACTGATGTTTCTTTATGGTAATTCATTTATAGAGATGCAAAAAAAAGTTGAGGCCGAAATTACTTCTTTAGGATATTTTATCAACAAAAATATATTTGAGGAATCTTAACTATTGAACAGAAGCTTTCAATTTGCACCCATCTTCGACATTATTAAATAGCCATATAGTATATATCAAGTATCTACAGCAAATGGCTTTTCAGGCCAATCTCTTAGAATCCCATATATAAACCATTTCATCCCAACCAGTAGATGCGGCCCATCCTGGTTCACCCCACAAACTATAGTCGCACCCTATGGCGAATTCCTTATGTCTTCCCATAACGCCGGTACAACCACCATTCGGAGTATTCAAAAACCTAGCTCTTTCGTTAGATTGATCGTTCCATACTCTACAAGTCATATCATAAGAAGCACTTAATAATTCTTGACCACTGTGAGGGGACCACAAGACCTTTCTCACAGCAAATTCGTGGCCCAAAAGTTGATTTAACGGAGTTGGACCTATAGTATGATATGCAGGCATTGGACTGTTGGAGTTTGGATGGTCAATACCAGTTATCATTCTTAAATCCCAAACTCTGATTGATTTATCAGTTCCAGCGGATGCGACTATGGTTGATTTGTATTTATTCCAATCACAACTCAAAGCCTCCAATCCACCATGCGCAACATAGTCCAACTGTAATGGATGAGGTGATCTTATGTCCCAGACCTGTATATGTGAAGACCCATTGCAACTAATAATTGTGGAAGGAGAATGAGGTGAGAAGGATGCATTATATATACAATTTGTAGTGTTAAGCTGTTGATGTTGTTGCTGGTGTGATAATGGAGGTTTGGCCGTTTGAGCAACAGGCGACGTTTTAGTCGTATAATCTACCTTCGGACTCAACGTAAGTAAGGATTCTTGTCTTTGGGGTGACCATATCTTCATTGTCCCATCCCATGAAGCAGAGACAAAGTTACTTTTATCTACCAAGTTCCAATTAACGGAAAAAACCTCTTTTGTATGTTCTCTATAATTCATCACTGGAAAATTAGGTACAGTCATATCGAATATCTTAATTGAGCCATCTCCACTTGCTGCAACAACTTGATTTTCATGAATCTCACTCCAGGCAACATCAAATAACCCATCCTGTGTCTCCCAAGAAATTGGGTTGCCAATAGATCCATTAGGTTCAATTCCTAATATGAATAGTCTCCCATTACCCACCAACCCATAATTAGCGGAAGTAGCTACCGCTAATTTATTATCGAAAAATGGCGAATACTGAACCCCATATCCATTATAGCCTGCGGTTCTAAATGATAGCATGGTTCTCAGATATCTGACCTTTATTTAGTCGTCTAAGCTATGACTAGAATGTTAAGTAGTCCATGAAAATCGATTTTCCATTATTATAAATAATATACAGGACGCCCCAGTTGATTGTCTCTATCGTAATATTGAATTAAAGTACTATATCTAATATATAAAATAGTCGCTTACGAACTAAAGATCGAATAAATCACAGTCTAAGTGCTTTATGTCCTTAACGTGTTCTTCGGGGATATCATCCTTGTTTACAAGGTCAAACTGCAAAAGGTCGCCTATAGTAAGACCGGATTTTTGTTGGGCGTACTTCAAATAGTCGAAGTCGTCGTCAGATGAAGTGATTTCCTCTTCTTCTTCCTCTTCTCCAATTGCATTTTCTTCCAACCTTAATGTATCAACACCAACTGTAATGCTGTATGTACTATCGATTACTTTTTCGGAAGAGTTATGATTATGATTAGCAACAGTTGGTCTAACTGGACCATTTTGAATTAAACCCCAAAGACACCAGTAAATGTGCACGGCAGGTCTCCAAAGGATACACTCGTTGTACAATTTCTTTATCTCGAATTGAATTAAATCAGCAGCGTTAACCTGGGTGACGTCCTTGTCAAAAGCGTGCTTGAGGTTAGATGAAGGGAATTGGAAGTCGTATTCAACGTAGGATTTGATCAAGTTCAATTGCTCTAATCTGTTTGGATAATTTTCCTCGTATATATAATAGGATTTTTCAGGATCGTGGTAATCAGCCATCCACTCGCAAAAATGATTTGCTAAATCAAATGCTGGGAAATTCGGACCGGAATACTCAAAATCAATAACTGCTAAACTGTTGTCTTTCTTATTGCTAGTCGATTTGATAACCGGTGATTTCTCATCACTGAGTAAATTAGCTGAAGATGGTGGGTGTGATATAATAATATCGCTTGCGTCGAACGATTCGTGCAACAAGAGATTACCATACTGAGTGTCATTGTGACAGAACTTATAGTTGGAAGCAAGTAATTCAGTATCATAATGAGAGAGCAACCATTTCTCATATTTTTTTATCAACTCTTTAAATTTATCGAACTTCATCAAGAAGACCTTTTCTTCCTTTACCCCACTAGGACCATAACTTGGTAAGACTGTATCTTCAAAAATTTGGAGCCATTTATAAATCAACTTCCAACACATGGGCAAGCCGTTAACATCTTCATAACTTAATTCAACTTTATAATGCAAATCTTTCATCCTTCTCCCCAACATTTGAGAAATAATTTCATCTCTAAGATTGTCTTTATCTAGCGGTGAAAATCCATCTAAAAATTGCTCAAATCTACCATTTGAAAATATACCTAACAATTTAGGGCCAATGTTTTTCTGGGACAATTTGACCAAAACACTTAATTCCCTCTCTCTGTCAATTATTGAATCTAAGTTTTTTCCATAAACTCTCAATAACAAAGTAGGTAACAGGAAATTCTGTTGCTCGTCAATATATGTTAACTTATAGATCGAATTCGTTAATGCGCCTGAAATTCTATTCACACTCAAGTTGGCAATTGTCAATTGTCTTTTATGCCATTTACTAATTCGAAGCGCTTTCACCATAACAATAATATCCTGTTTAAAAAAATCTAATGGAACACTATTATCTAACGTTGCTTGAACAGTTGGAATTAATCTTTCATCATCAAGAGTCGTTGGTGTTATAGTGAGCTTACTGGTCGAAGATGAAGAAAGTGACCTTTTACGACCAAAAGTAGGTCTCCTAGTCGAACTTGTTGATCGAGAATTTGCGGTTGAATTCCTGGTTCTTGACTTCGATCGAGATCTAGTTTGATTTGGATTATATATATTCGCGTGAGTTATATCCATCTAGCTTGTATCTGATCTCCGTACTGTTGCTGTTGCTGTTATAATTAAGTCGTCATTAAGCAACTTTTCAATCTTGAATCGTCTTGTGAGAGGTTGGGAATTGAATGTGGTTATGTACACACCAATACGAGATCAATTAATTTTTGTTTCAGATAGATAAGGGTTATATCTTTAACGACAACGATGGGTTGGAGCGATTATCTTGCTGCTGCTGGCTGTGTTGGGACGGCTGTGACATATGAATTGTATAGGTCTAAAATTACGGAGTATGAAGATATATTGACTGAGCTATATGTGAAGATCGACGACTTGGAACTTCAACTAGAACAAGAATGCCTACAAGCAAATAATACTTTCAATGTCGAACAGAAAGGCACTAGAATTGATCACTCAACTGGCGCATCGGAAGCTAGTAATTCAGATGAACTAAAGAAAGGGCTTGCAAAACTTGAAGAAGCTAATCAGGTCTTACGAGGTAAAGTTTCTCTGGTGAGACATGAAAAGGTTGAATTGGAAGAGAGATTGAAGCAATTTCAGGGTAAAATTGAAGATTTAAAATCCAATTTAGTGAAATCTGGCTCAGAAAAGATTTCATTAAAGGAACTGTACCAATTCAAATTAAATAATGAAATTGAAAGGCTAATCACTTCACGGGATTTGGAAATTGCAAACTTGCATGATACCGTGAAATTTTTGAATAAGGAGATGGAGAAGGTTAGTGAAATTAATTCCACGTTATCCGACGCTAACAAAAAATATATTTTTGAGATTGATAAAAACGCAAAAGAGATAAAGCTTCTAAAGAAACAAAAAGCTAGCGACGAACAAAACCTTGAGAGCTTGAATAAAAAATTAGACGAATTGGAATCTTTGAATGAGCAAAACAAGCTAGATTTGAATACTAAGGGGAAGGAATTGGATAGAAATGGGATAGAGATTGTTGAATTGACTCATGAATTGAAAAATAATAAGGAAGAACTTTCAAAGTTGTTATCTGAAATTGAAGATTCCGAAAAGAATATAACCGGCAAAGAAGAATTACTTGCTATAGGGAATCAAGAGATTGAAGAATTGAAGAGAGAAATAGAACACCAGTCCAAGCTTCTAAAATCCAAGACTGAATCCTTGAATAAATCCCTTGAAGCTCAAGATGAATTTATGACTAAATATAGGGAATTTGGATGCGAAGTTGCAAAATTATTTGAAGAAGTTATCGAAATCGAAAAGAACTCCAGTGTGACGAACGGAAATTCAGACGAAGATTCTAAATCTGAAGAATTTGAATTCGTGAAGTATAATGATAGCAAACGATCTTCAGAAGATTTCGAAGAAGTGGATATCGCAGATGCAAATAAGACCTCATGTGAGTCATCTGATAAAGAACATGAGCAGGATAAAGGACATAAGCAGGATAAAGAACATGAGCAGGATAAAGAATATAGCTCAATCCAAGAAAAGAATCAAAAATCGGAAAGTTCCGAATGTTTGACAGATGAGTTTGATGAACTCAAGGGTGCGGAGCCATCAACTGATGAGTCGTTCGGAATTAACTTTAGAAAAATTCAAAAAGTAAGAGAATATATCAAGAATTCCAGATCTACTATAAATGACCAATTATCTTTGCGTCTGGACAAGAGACGTCTTATCCAAAAGTTGAATACGATACTTGGTGACTACGAGGTCAAATTAGCATCCTCTCCCGAAGAAACTAAGAAATTAGAGGATGAAACCAGGTTCGTCGAACCCCTGGATTGTCTAAATGATCAAGTTTCTGAACGTCAGTTAGAAAATAATTTAAAATCAATCGTGCATCAAGTCTCCAAGAGAGAAAGCCAAATTAAAACCCTCGAGTCAAAATTGGCCGATTTCTCTGACAAGCTTAAAGATTTTGACCGTTTAAAGCAGATGGATGAACGTCTTGAACAGGTTCATAATGACTATAAGAAAACCCTTAATGCGAAGGAAAGTGAAATCGATTGCTTGAATAAGGAATTAGCGAAATTACCCACTGCGACAAGAGAAATAAGTAATTTAAATGCCGAATTATCCGCGAAAGACAAACAAATCCACACCCTTGAAAGCGACATACAAAGACTACTGCATGATAATAAACAAGTCGAAATGTCCGCGACACATGACGAGACCGATGCCAGAAAATCTCAACCATCCACCAGCGATGACGACATAAGACCGTCAACAGGGGAATTCAAGATCTCTCCGGACCTCACTAAACAACTCCAGCTCCCAGATGAACAGAAAGCCCATTTCCACAAGTCCTCGCATGCTAAACCAAAAAGCCCTCCTGATTCTGCCCCAAATGAGCCAAGTAGACTGCCTGAAATAGAAATTGACACTTCTACATTGAGTCTGCGCGCTTTTAAGCGAATTGCAAATGAGAGCCAAGTTGCTACCAATAAAGAACTTATGCACTCAGAAAATCCTGTACCTGTTTCGGAAGAGAAGAATGCTTATCAACACAGAATTGACCAGCTCACACGTCAGTTACAAGAGGCCAACCAGAAGATTGACAAGCAGCACAAAGTAATTTCCAAGAACCTTGAATTACTAAAAGAATCAAGGTCGCGTTCATCTTCTCCAATGCCTTCTCCTACCAAGAATTAGGCACTATTTGTTATGTAGGTTTGTCCGTAAGTTTCTATTTAATACCTGCGACTAAAAGAATATGGCCATGCGTTGTACCTTAAGATTTAATAAAAGCATTTTATGTACGTATTGTCTTGTAACTCGTATTATGCATAGTAAGTACAGTCAATACGTATTTTTTACATAGTCAATACATTGTACATGAGAATAGATTGTAGACCTTTAGTAGATGGAACACCTTTTATAGCAGGACCAGGCATTACTATCCTGTTAGTGAAGGTATTAAATGTGCTATTGTTTCACTTGTGCCCAGGCATTGCTATGTATAAATAGAAGATACTGTAAATAGATAGACGGAACAATAATACAAGGAAGGCTTAACTTGAGAATTCACATTAGAGATTTTTTAGAAGCAGGAAAAATCGGGTAATCATCTGGAATCATATTTTTTTTGTATATTACATCCCAAGTTTCTAGGGAAAGGTACCAGACTGAGATAAGTAGTATTGAACAATCTGTGCATTTCATCGGTAGGTTATTCATCGTCATTCGTTAATTACATCCAAGCTAGTAAGTAGACCTTTACCAATATTATCGGGTTGATTCAAAGTATATTTAGATCGGTTATTTATGATATCATTACAAGACGGGAGCTAGAACATTGGTGAAACATAAACATATCCAGCACTTGATTATAGAAATAAGGTTACGAAAAGTGACACCATGGTAAAGGTGCTTTCAAAAGCCACTAATCTTAATAGAAAGAAATCTACCAAGAGTATTCATTCTGTTGCCTCGACATCAACATCAGAGTCTATAACTTCGGCGCCAACACCACCACAAACACCACCCATAAATAAGGCTCCAACCACGAATAATACGTCTGCTAATAACTCTGCGCCCTCGAATGGAGTATCCGAAGATGATAAATTGGTAAAGTCCTTATTGAAACAATTCAAGAGGCTAGAAATAGATTTAGCAAAGTTTAACTCAAAAACAAACGGAACAACAAAGGCCAATATCTTAAGAGCTACTGTATTGCCATTTTTGCGGAGCTTAGGTAATTTAGATGAAAGTCTTCCGGTCAATTCCAAGGTCTATAAAAGTTTGCTTAATATAAGCACATCTGTTTTGCTCAAATGGTGGGCCTCCTTATTAAATAGTCTTGTGCCTAAGGCTAATCAGCAGTCGATGGTTTCGAGTACTGATAGAAATGCGTATTTGGAATGCATCTCTCGCATCCTATCCAGGAGGGATTGGGGTTATGTTGAAAAGCAAACACATGAGAAATACGAGAATTTATTAATCAGGACGTTGGATTATTGTATCAATAAATTGCAAAGTATGAAGATAGTTCCTATTGCTATTTCTGCATTCGTGGGGAAGGTTTTCGCTTATTCATTTTTCAACATTCCGAATATTAGTAATGCATTGTTATTCTTATTAAATGTCAAGCAACATGTGTTGGAATCAAATTTATCGTATTTCAAAGACCTTATTATAGATGAAACACTTATAGACATGTTGTACGATGTATTTCCTCCCGCAACCCATTATTTAATTGATTTTAAAGGCTTGCCAATTTTAAATGAACAACAAAAAACGTTTATTAATTCAATAACTCCTCCAACGCATCCGGTTAAAGGTATACAGGACCCAAATGGTCCATGGGTTAGAAGATGGTGTAATAGCGATAGTGACGTATTCAATTCTTTTTTCAGGCATTATGTTACAATTTTACAAAATTATTTAGAGCCAATTCCTAATATTGACCTGTCAATATTGTTCCACTGTCCTGGGTTCAATGTAATTATCAGTCATATCTGTCAAATATTCCAGGTTTCAATAACGAGAATATCTAACAATAATATGAATAAATTGAATAATGGTCCTCCTAATGCATTTGCAGTTCAACAACAATCTCCTCGTCAACATCTACCTCTGTTGCCTCCTCAGAGTAAAGGTAATTCTACACCTCCGCCGCTTATCAATGTAAGCAAACAGAATGATATTTATTACAATTCAATTCTAAAAATTTTCAAGACTGTCAGAGATATCAAGTATTCAAAGATCGAGTTTAGCACAAGTATAATTAATTTTATGGATAACTTGTTTATATCCATTGCCAAAGATATAAGTATTTACGATCAAAGCAAAAATGGATTATTACTTAATGTCGTTTATGAGTTTATTAATCATGTTTCAGGAGAAGTAAATTGGGAATTCTGGCTAGGATGCGTTTACATGATGTTGAATAATACAGACCATATTCAAATAGTTTTAAAAAATCTTGCCTTTTTGTTCAATGTTTGGGGTTCAATTCCTGAATGTCTTTCTGATACACCAAAGAATGAAATTCACTCCGCGTGGCTTGTTAATTTGAACGAAAGTTTTAAATTAAATTTCATTAATTGGCTTATATCGAATGAGGTATGGGAAAGATTCTTCGTCCACTGGAACCCGATGATTAGATCCTTCTATTTAAGATTGGTTATATGGAGAGTTATAGGCATAAACAATTTTGAATCTTCAATTTCTTATCAAACGACCAAAAAGGTCGAAGATAAATTGCAGAAATCGTACGCGAGATTATCGGAATTCAATAATCAGAATATTGTGACCAATTTGAACTTCAAGGCTGATAACCCATTGGTTAATAGAAAATTTGGAATACAACCAATAAATACCAATGACGAATTTATATTAGTCAATGATCAAGATGTGTCATCTAGTTTAACCAAACCTAGTGAAATAAGGAAAACACACCCCTTTGAAATATTTGATGAAGCAATATATAGCTGTTCGTCATTGCCTGGCTCCCCAAAAATTGATCCTGGAACAAGTCAAGTAGGTGGTAAATCGTCCAGAAATAGTTCACTTGTTAGCTCACTTGGTAAACTTTTCAAGATATTATCTATAGATGAAAAAGCTGGCAATGATCGGACAGACAATAACCTCTTGACGAGTCAGAGAAATTCAGTTTCTCTTACCTCATTGTCAACTACATTCTCCATTAAATCAAGGTCATCCAGTCCAAGTATAATGTCTTTCAAGTCAACGCCTACATCTTTCACTGAGGTTTCAACTAATTCATCCTCATCAAAGTCAGATTCTGAAACATCAAGCGTTCAAACAGATTCAACCGAATTATCAGAATTAGTCATTCCAAATCCCCCAGAACTATACAAAGTCCCTCCAGAAATTGTAAGGCCTGCATTTAAATTTGGTATTATTATCGATCATGATTCTATAAATGAAAAATATATGGTCGTGAATAATCATAATAGAAAGTTTTTCGAAGGGCCAAGGAAGAGCAATAATTTGCCATTACTTCCTAAGATTCCATGTATCTCGATCTTTCTTAATTCAGATCCATACGATAAGTTTTATATCACTAACGAAAATTTGTTAATTAACGACCCATCCAACGAGGATTTGAATAATGAAATTGACTTGTTTAGTAGTATAGCGAATAGTTCGAGTAAGATTAAGTGGTTGAATTTAGGCAAAAGTTTAAATGAGTGGAATTTAATAAGTGAAGAGTTTGAAAATTACTTAATAAAGAAAATTAAAACTGACCAGTTTAATTTTATTAGTAATTTAAATGGGAATGGAAACGGAAAAAATAGTATAGATGAAGAAATTAGTGAGCAGGATTATTTAAAGAGAATTACGCCCTTTTTACCAGTCGATGGTTCTAACGAGTCTAAGATATTAAATGCTGGTTAATATAAAGATATATATTATTATATTATTATTACAATTAATGAGGAGTTATGTAAAGTTTTTCTTGAATTTAGTTTATACCAATTCACACGACGGGCTTTTTCTTTTATAATAAAATTTAGTAGTTGCAATTTTAAATACTAAGGTACAATGAAGTTTCCTGGATTAGGTTTTATGTAAATCATCGTCTATCGTAAATTTCAATTAGTCATTTTTCTTTCCACCTGTGGATTTCAAAAGTACTATCATACTGCTAATTAAGCAGATAAATGAACTTGGTATCCAAAAAATTAATACTCCAACGATAAATGACGTAAAATAATAGTTAAGCATATAGTAACGCATGCCATCCCACTGTATTGTCATTTCTAGAAAACTATTATTATTATCGACAATTAAACGCTTATCTAGGCGTAATAATGCCTCACCTGTCCTTTCATTTTCAGATATTAATTCAAGTAACTGTTTACCTGTAACTATAGTTAAAGGGGATCTAATGTTTATCAATTTGTCGATATTAGTCAATATAGGAGGAACCCAAAACCTCAACCTGTAAGGAATGAACCAGTTATTCTCATTATATATGAATCTCGTGTCACAATTCAATAAAAAAGAGTTGTTCGACACTAACTTATCTTCAATAGAAAACGCTGAATTGATATTATATATATCATCGTAGTTTTTCCGATTACAAACAACATTCAAATTCAAACCAATTTCATATTTAATCCCAGCGTCTTCTTTCAACACTTCGTGGATATTGTTCAAATGCAATGAACTTTTCATCCCCACTTCTTTATATGAAAAAGGATCAAACCTTAGAGGTATTCTTGTTATTGGTTTAGGAATTAGGACCTTATAAAAATTCAAATATGCAACAATTGAAATAGGCAAAAGAATACCAAATATAGATAACAATAGCGTTGAGATATACAACCATTGTCTAGTTATCGCCAACGGTATAGTGAATGTAAGATTCATTAGGTTTGTTAGTTGTTTATCATAACAGTACGCTTATCAATATGAAATCTCAATCCAATGAGCATTTTTTATGTTTGGCGCACTTGCATCCATTCATTTTATTTAATCTTATTTATGAATACTAATTAATACATAAAAATAACTCAGGTACATCGTGATACGTGGCATTTCTCATAAACATTGTCGTAATGGTCTTTGAGAAGGAGAGGAATATTCATCGGAATTAATCGATCATCATAAAATACCAGCTCCGCTAGAGTTATTCGTTAGCTATATGTTTCTTTCGTAGACATCTTCCTTTGTTGTTCTTGTATCGAGTGACTATGCTTATCATGTCAAAAACTTCAGAAGAAGTAGAATTATTACCTCTTTGATATTTGCCATCTTTGCCTTAGAAAAAAAACCCGGCTATTGTACTTCTTAAAGTAATGGCGTGCGCAACAGTTTCTGGATCATTGATGGCATAGTAGTCTATAGTCATTTTGGCATCCACAATTTATACTTAAAGAGCTGAAATAAAAATCCTATCGGTGCCATAAAGAAATGCTTGATAAAGATATTCCCTTAAAGCAAAAGCAAATAAAACCCTAGGAGACCACTCCCTATCAGCAAATAACTGTCGACTTTCAGCGATCTCAATCTATTAATATCCAATAAATATTGCTTGAATTCTTCCATAGCAACTTTTAATTCTTCCAATACTCCTGCCAAACTATAGGTTCCTTTCTTATAACCACCTATACCAAAACAAACTTCTGCAATTTGCAATTCTAAACGATCCTTTTTTCAATATGAGCTATATCTGGTTTTACGAATCTTCTTCTGTCCAAAGGTAGGTCTAATAATAGATGGTTTGCCAAAAGTGGTCCTCGCCAGATGTCACCATAAAGTCGCCTAATTGTGCTAGCCATTTCTTCATTAAAGTAGTCTTGGATATGATATTCCACATAGCATCCCTTAACTATATTTCTTGGTTAAGAAGTCGTCGCTAACGTTCGCTTCTTTAAGAGCATCATCAAGTGGAACAAGGTAACTCTGGATTCAACGCTACTCATTTTTCTAAATTCGGCCTTCATCAATGTATAAATAAGAATTGGTATAAATGGCATAGCCGTTACTGAAATTCATTTGTCACTCTTGGGCATTATTTTCCCTTAAAAGCTCTCTTTCACACCACCATCATCATCATCTCGGATCCTTAAGAATTGGGTATCCAAAAAGAACCTTGTATTTTGTTCGTTGTTGTTCCGTACCCTATCATATAATTGGGCATTTGCCCTAACATATCTGCTCTCTGGATCATCGGTGTGATAGGATTACTATATATCCTTGAAAAATACATACATGGCATTATATGATGACATTCTATAGTTGTATTCAGGGCTCTCCTGTAATCATTGATTTGGTTGATTGGCTTCTAGAGCTCGCAGAATTCTCATACTCAGCTCCCTTATTGAAAAGGTCTCCTGTTTCACTTTGGTAACTGTGTTCTGGTTTTTATAAATTTGCTCCTGCCTACCACTGTTAGGCATACCACTGGGATTATACATATTGTTTTTTCGTCACTAAATTGAGAGAACTTGTCTGCGGCTTTCCGTATGGAATCGACAGAATTCAAATTGTTTGCAAGACCATTGTGGGGGGGTATTGTATCTTTTGTATACCGCGGAGGGGATTTCAAGTATTGAGATTTGTATAGACATGGGTTGGCTAATGGGTTACACACCTTTTGATATATTCGTCATTTATCAGCATCCAGTATGCTATTTGTATTTTGTAATTGTTATGTTGTTTCATCAATAAGACCGCTGACTATTCTATTATCATATTAACACAACTATTTTACTGTTTCATACATTCCATTGTTAGTCTTCATTTGATTTACATGCTAACACTCTTCGTGATGTTCGCACTCTAACTCTAAGCACCCCACAAAAAAATTGCAATTATTCTCTAGTTGAAACTATGTGAAACAAGTATTTCTTTTATGCTAACTTTGTTTAGTTTCCTATAAATTGAAGAAATCCCCTGATAGAAAATGAATGAATATATTAAAATTGAGCAAAATGAACGACGATACTTTTGCGAAGAATATTAGACGGTATATTTTAAGGGGTGGTGGGGATGCTGATATGGATGTTGATACTGATACTGATATGGCTATGGATGTTGATATTGATATCAATAATTTTGATATTACCAAATTCGACTATAGAACTATTTTCAACAAGAGTCAGAACGAGAACATCAACCATATAGAAATGATATTTAAATTTTTTGGAATTAAAACAAACTCTGAAGTGGATTCGATGCCTCAAAAGTTAAAGTGGTATTTTGACGATCATCCGAATGAATGGAAAGAATTATTCATATTCTTTTGTGTTATGCCGTTTACCGAATATGAATTCCAGGGTGATTATGGAAATTTACTAAATCCTGATACTCTTCATAATACCAGTACGAGCGAGGCAACAGAAAACAATCTAATTGGGACTTTTTCCGATATTGANTTTGAATCAGTCAAGCAGATAATTCCGGAAGCCAGGCTTGCAGCTAATTTGCAGACTATATTGAAAACAGACGTATTCTCAAGCAATTTTAAACAAGCTGAAAGTAAAAATATAATCACGAAATTGCTTGGAGTTTGCTCTAAACAAGACTATGAAATTGTGACAGATATTGGATCNAATGCTGAGAGCACATATAAAAACAATTTTATGAACTATTTATTCAAACCCATATGCCANTACACTGCATCAGTCCTTCATTTTCAGACACGAGTAGAAGAAGTTAATGCTATCGGTCAGACTGGAGTTCATACTAGGGTACCACATCAATCCAAAGATTTATTCTACTCGTATCCCGATATAGTAGCATACGCTAAAAAAGTACATTATCAGTCGCTAGCTTTAGTTGAGGTCAAAAAATTACCTATTTTAATCTCTAGAAAAATGTTGGACGTAACAGATGTAAAAATGAAGAAATTCATCAAGCAAGTTGTGGCAGAAATGTTTTCTAATCACACAAATAAAGGCATGCTAACAGATTCATACACAACAATACTAATTGAAATCGATATCGAGAGATCTTTGGAAATAATCGAGCAAAATGCCGAATGGAATGATGGCAAGCCAGTTGCTCTAAATTANAAAGTCCTAGATTGTCATTCATCAGGTCTTACATTAAGGGGTGGTCTCGTTTCATATATCTATGAAGCTTTCGCTGTAAGTGAGACCCGACTAGATGAAATTAANAGAGGATTGGATACGATCTATAGGTTTATTCGCAAGACAGATGAAGAGTATTTGACATATTTGGATGAAATAGCATTAAAGCATGAGATGCCGTTTAGGGATTATTGTATTAATTCAATTGAAAATCATCCAGTAGAAGATAGAAGACGGCATATTTCTGCTACTGAAATTGCACTCGGAAGTTTTGACAAAATTGACNTTCAGTGTGGATTTACGTTCAATTCTCAACTTTTTAAGGTGAACAAGGAAGATGTGGAGGCTTTTTTTATCAAGCCTTTCGATGGTGATGACCAATTCATTGTAAAAGTCTTTGATCCCATCAAAGCGAAAAGAGATCATAAGCATTATAGCGCTGAACGAACAGATAGCTTCAACATATGCCGCAAGGCCTATCTGTGCGAGAAACTGGCATATGAGATTCTATTAAATGATGGGTTGTTCAATAATGTTTATGTTGACCAAAAATGTGTATTTGGTAAATTCAATATAGGTGAACATTACCATGCGCTAGGGCCATTTATCATATTAAAATATATAGAGCCCGAAAAAGGAAAATCTATAGAACCCGAAAAAGGAGAATATAATCGATTGCCCAAAGATAGAAGGACATATGAGAAAGCTGAAGAGCAATTGAAAATCATCCACAGTTGTAGAATACTTCATGGAGATATTTGTGAACGGAATATTCTTTATTCACAAGGCAAGGTCTATTTTATTGATTTTGGGTATTCAGATTATAATATTGTTGAGAAAGGGTCCAGACCAGTAACTGCTGATCCAAGGAGTACGAATAGTGAACACCGAAAATTATGCAGAGTGTTTAATCAGGAAATTCCACAGCAATACGAAGATTCTAATGAATAAGAATTTAGTATGAATAATTAAAAAGCAGATCAAGCCATATAACTCTGCTTATAGCCTAATACACAATTACTGGTATCATCGATGGTGATATTACTATCTGCGCCTGAAAATACAATTGCTGGAGGTACAGAAGAAGAGGGAGAATATAAGGAGAATGAAGTATCTATTGATATGTCTAGTAATAGTTATAACGTATACAGAGTAGAAATAATTCCAACACACAATTACTTAAACTAGAGTATATTTACCTGAGAAGTTCTTACTAGAACTGATCGATGGTAGCGAGGTTTTAGTCGCAAAGGTCTATGATCCACGAAGCATTATTAGAGAGCAATATGAATGCGAGACTCATGAAGAATGTAGGGAAACTAATGGTACAATTTCGAAAGATCATTCTATTCAACTTTATCCAAGGATGCAGAGTTCAACAGCTCTTACGTTCAAAATTTTGGTAAAATCATAATTGCAACGAAGAGCTGTAGATTGCAAAGGGTATTTCACTTATTCAGATGCGTCGAGAAGGTCCCGTTATCAAAGGACGGGAGACACATAAGAAAGCTAAGAAAAAATTAGAGACAATTCACCGAAGCGGAATCGTACACAGGGATGTTAGAGAAGAAAATATTCTCTATACAAGTGTAGTCTACATCATTAATTTTGCATTCACAAAGGACAAAATCAATATTTATGATAGTGGTCTGAAGCAAGATGATTTTGATAAATTGAAAGGCATGTTTCTATCATTTGCTTGATCCGAAAGAATGAAGGGTTTTGCTTCGACTATTGGAGTCAACAAAAGAATATATGCGCAGAAAATGTCAAGCGACGTATATTTAAGTTGGGTTTTTAATGGTCAAGCTTGATTTTGCCATCTAGACAATCTCATATTAAGCTCAGTATTCAATCAATAGGGAATTGGAAACTAAACAGAGTGTAATTAGTTAGTTGTCCATCTATTAGTTATTAAGTTATAGTAGTGATTATTGAGAAAGCTAAACTATCTACTATTTATATATTTGTAAAATCCATTCTAAATCTGAGCTTTAGCGTTAGACCGTCTTATATGACAACTTTTCATTCACGAAATATAAAAAAAAAACTATATACTTGAAATGGCTCTGAGAAAAATTATTAAAATTAAAGTATCAAAAATCAATGAGCGAAGAGAATTGACGTGACAAAAATAAAGTAAAGGAGTATACATATGTAACACACGAACAATAAATAAATATAAATGCAACTAGTGAGTAGTATGGCCTCTATGATACTTTAAACCGTTCAAATTCTTATAGCGTTTACCGCAAACTTCACATCTATATGGTTTATCCTTTTCCATTCCAGCACCATCTAAGTATGGGGTATTTGATTCCGGGTCAATAATGGAAATTGTTCCATCTGGATTTTCTTTAAGAGTTTGATTCTGGTGGCCATGCAAACGATGATATTTCAACCCATTCTGATTTTTGTAAGTCTTCTCACAGCCTATTACTGGACATTTGTAAGGTTTATATTCATTGTTTTCCATTACATACAAATGACGGGCCGGATCATCGATATACATTGCATCGTCTTCATCGGGACGAGGTGTTGCGGAATCTGATTGAGCATTCATATTCTGGAACTGAGGTGGTGATTGATGATGTGATTGGTGTATTTGTTGAGTTTGATGCGTTGGGGATTGATGCTGGTGCTGCTGTTGCTGATGATGATGATGCTGTTGTTGTTGCTGATGCTGTACTTGAGGTTGGTTGGTCGGTATTGGGTTATTTTGAGGGATAGTGTTATTTAATGACGCTTGACTAATTGTTTGCTGGTGGATATTGAACTGGTTATTTGGGATATTTAAATTAGGATGATTATTGTGAGCATTGTGGTGGTGATTATTCAAAAATACATCAGTAGTGGAAACAGTTTCCATGATATTATGAACATTATTTCTGTTTCGATTTCTGGCCGAGTTTAATATGTGCTGGTCTTGCGGAGGAGAAGGACTGATATGGGCTTCTTCATAGTGTCGCAACAAGTCGTGTAATGTAGGTAAGAGTTGCCCACAGCACAGGTAGTCCTTGCAATAATCAGCCTCTAAGTCCGGCAAGTACGACGTTTGGATTGGTGGCGACATGGAAATGCTGGCATTTGGTTGGTGGCGAATCGAGCCCCTCCTGGGGTTAATCAAATGATGCTGTATATGTGGCTGTAAATGGCTATTTGCGAAAGCATTGGTATTAGCATTAGCATTGTTGTTACCATTTCCCACCATCATAACCTCATCTTTCAACCAGGACCCGATCGTAACCGACCCCCATGAAACACCTCCCATCCCCTGCGAATGCGCAATTGATTCTCGTCTGAACCGAGAATTATTAAATATCGATGACTGTCTCTGGTAGCTAATATCAATCGGTTGAGGGATATTCAAATGGTCGTTCGTGGTTATGGTAGACGCCCCCAGCGGTGGTATATTGATCGCTGACGAAGACTGGCCCCCCGAATTACTATTATCAAAGATTTTGGTATTAAACATCTATACTCTGATTCTTGCAATAAAATATGTCTCGTGGAAATTTATGAATAATCTGATATTTTAATTAGGGATAATGCTAATATAATATTCTATCAACTAATCTATTGATTTTCTTCACAAAAGACCTCGCCGTGCTTAAAATAAGTTTCTATACTGCAATATTCACCCTTATTAGATGTCTATACTACTTTCACACCGTAGAATTCTGTATAATAACTAGATATAATACTAAAACTAATATATTTGGAATGGAATCGATTATTAATTTTATATATTGTACTGGACACGACCGTTTTTTGAGCTCGGCATACAATAGGGAGATTTCCGGATATCTTCAGCAGTTAAAGATTTACAGTGATATGGATGACTTTTTCAGGTGGTGATAAAGAGGTATAAACCTGGTGGAGACGCAGCCTTAGATTGTGACTTGCCCTATGGTCCATCTTTGTATGTGAATCAATACAGATATGTAGAAAGTATCTCGCAAGGGAATATTGAAATTACGTAATGAACATTGAAAGCTTATGCAATTGAGAGGTTTAAACGGTCTTCCAGTACACCTTCAGCCCTACACCCACAGGGGATAGACTGGTGGGATCGGCGCAGAATCGGTTGACCACATAGAGGAGTAAGATGGACTGCACTCTCCGTGGAAATACGTAGCAATTATCATGATTGCGATAGCTGGGTATGCATGTAAAGGACAATAGTGGGCTATTGTCGGAGTAGATGGAAGTAAATGGGCTTGAGGCCAGAATCGAAAAGCTAGCTACGGATAGATGGGGTAAACGAACAATCAGAGCTTATTTGGTATGGTGAAAGAGGTAGCACGGGCAGAAACGGTGATTTTGTAAGTGTATGTGGTGGTTCATGGACTGTTGGTTTTAGTTAGGCTTTGATTGGTCCATGAAACCGAATTCGTGTACGTGCGTGTGATCGAAATATTTAAGGTTCCCGTAGTATGCGATGTTCCTTATATGGACTTATGGATCTTATTGTACATATTGAAAGCCATACTAGGTTTAATTTTACTGCTGGTAAAGAATGACTTGCTGCTGGATGTTCGGATCTTGGGGTAAGGGTTTGGTAGTGGCACGGCCCTGTAACTTCCACAAGTGTTGTAAGATATTGTAACACCATGTAAAGGGGAATGCCAAACTACAGCAATAACGGTCCGGTGTGGTCCTTATGATGCGTAGAGTCCCTGGAGCTCCGTTGAGGGCCAGGTTGAATGCTAGATGTTGTTCGCCCACTAACAGAATTTCTAGAGCTAAATATTAGATGATCGCTATATGTCAACTTTATTACATGTAATACTCCAGTAGGCATGGTTGTTTATTACACGCGATAATTCACAATATGGAATGTGATTTTATTGGATATCAGTCTATGTAGTCTTCCGGAAGAATATATTTCTAGTGCGATTACGGTTTAGATCCGATCAGATAATTTTTACCCGAGCTGATATATACCGAAATTTTTACGAAAGACATATATTGAGTCCAAACATAAACATACGTATAACACCATACTTTCCATAATTATGGAAAAATTACCCATAGAAATTATAAACGTAATAGCCCATTCACTAAATCAATTTGATTTAGTGAGTCTATCGGGGACGAACAAAAGTTTGCATCAAATTCTAATTCCTAAATTGTATAAATCGATAACCGTGGATTCTTCAAAAACACATCTTCAACACGATTTATCATCCAGAACAACTACTATTAAGTCCTTACATTCGTTGAAATTATTTTTGAATAAACTTATTAAAAACCCTGAGTATGGTGGATTTATAAGACATCTTGCATTAAATAATGAAATTCCAGATATGTCCGAAATTATGTTGAATAAATACTTGGAAATAATATTTCCTATCTTGAAAAATCTTAACACGTTGAACTGGTTTATCGTTGACCCGTATCTTTCCTTCGAATTATTGAAGCTTTTACCCTTAGAAAAGCTCTGCACCCTTGGCGGAAATTTTAAAAATTTCGAAGTGGTGGAAACCTTGATTCGTCAACCCCTCAAAGAGTTAGAGAAGTTAGAAATTTCTGGATTCAATACTGCTTCGAATTTATCAAAAATAGACATGTTGAAGTTTCCTAATTTGCATGACTTGACTATTCTGAAAAATTCTTGTGGTAAATCAAAGAGTGTAACCAATTTAATTGAGATTGATACAATCGATGAAAACTACTTGTCATGCATTTTTGCTCATGCACAAAACCTAAATTTATCGTCGCTTACATTAAAGGACATTTGCATCACCTCTGTAAATGCAAATGATTTAATTAGGGCCATTAATATTCCCCATTTAAAAAAACTTTCGATAATTAACTGCACCGAAGTTATGTTCGAAAATGATTCGTTCATAAGGAGAAGCCCTCCTCCTGTACTCTTCCTAGATTTGCTAGGAACTCACTTATCTACTTTAGAGAGACTAGTTTTGAATTTCCTGAATGACCTCGCAGATAATAATAGCATCTTGCGTTTACTTAATCTGATATATTTGAATAAGCTTGATATACTCATAACGTGCAAAAATGGAGAAAGCTTGAACGAAGATTTAGCGGCCATAATTAGTAGCCTCGTAAACCACCCCTTGAAGGAACTAAAATTAGATTTCATTATACCCAATACTAATTACAAAAAAATAACTGTTCCAATAACTACATTATCCAATCTCTCGAAGTTGGACCAGCTACAAATACTAAAGGCCCCAGTTGAACGTCGTCATTTTGAAAGCTTATTTCCAATGATCTCTGAATTAAGCAAACTAATAGTGCTCCATTTGATTGTAAATACACAGAAAATTCCAACTAATTCCTTAATTGATCAAAATTATTTCGATTTTGCAATCCCTGGCCTAAGTCACTTACAGGAAAATCTTTTTGCACAATTTTATGACTACTGCAAAGACTTTAAGTTTTGCAATCAAAACTTGGAATATTTAATTTTTGAAACCCCGAAAATATTAATGTTTGAATGCCGAAATAGAATAGAGTTAGTAGATATGTAGATATTCAACCTTTACATATCTTTAATTAAGACGTACATACAATTCAAAAATATTCGAATTATGAGCGAAAAAAAAAAAATTCATATAAAATGATATAAGGATACTTAATAAATGTTCATTAATATCACAACTCATACAACTCATACCGACTATAAAATCTAGAACATAATTAGTGGTCAAACAATTAAATAATGACAAGGTTCAAATTATGTCAACTTTTACTGATAAGCGTTGGAAGGAATCGAAAAATATACTCAAATAGGAAATTCATGGTAACCGCATCGAAAATGGAAATTTACGGTCTGAATCCAATTCATGGGCTTCCTCCTTATTTACCTAATATTACTAAGGCATAACTATCGCTGTAATCATTATGCTTTCAATGGAAGGAAAGTTGGTTACATGCGAAAAACCGGTGGAAGTGAAAAATATTATAGAGCTTGGGAGTGATTACATTACATTTAACGAAGAATAACTAGAAACAATCAATGTGTAGATAAAATAGGGTTGAGGTAGGAATGGGTTAATTGAAAGGGATCGAGTGAGTCAAGAAAGAAGACCACTTTTACTGCCGTTAAATTGGGTGTGTTGCCAGAAAGTTTTTCAACTTGTTAAGTTGCGTTGGCTGCAATACTGTTAATTATGTTATTTCTTGTATCACTAGGAGCTCTGCTACAGGATGTGTATTTATTGTGATAATTATCTGTGTCAATGCGGTTTGGTTATAAAGCTGTCGAATTTTATGAGATACTCATGTATTGCTAACATTGTTATTTATTTAGATTGTTATTACTAGATGAACTAAGTTTCGTAGCTTCAGCTTGGCACTTGCGCAAAGGAAAGGTCGAATCAGAACATGTATATAGCTTTGCATAGCTAGTATTAGGGTTTGCAGCCATATGGTCACTATATGCCCCGCAATACCTCCTCTTGGAAAATCTTGTCTTTATGAGTTATCAGCTGCATATATTTCTGCATTTAGCTTGGGTACGGCATTAGCTATCTACGTGAAAGATTTTACGCTTCAGAATTTTTGGAACAAGCCATTTGGTCCAAGTTTGCTGTGTTCCAAGATTGGCTGGTGTCTTATCATTGGCATTTGCTATTCCTAAGCATTTGAAGCTTTCATATTAACTTATCGGTTATCAGTTACAAGGTTTCCATTTATATTGTATTTCTTGATGGAACATTCTGCTTACAGGAGGCTTTTCAGTAAGCCACAATACTACTGATTTCAACGAACATTCGACCCGCTTATTGATACTATGGTGCGTTTGCATTCTCATACGGCATATTTCCTACCCTGTTAGCAATGAACCAGACATGGTACATGTCTGGTACCAAGGGTAATTTCTCAACAATATGGTGCTACCAGAGGATATATTTCATTCGAATTTATGTTGCGTTTACGTATATTTCGTAAAACTAGAATACTCTGATCGCTGATCAGCCATTCTTCGGTTTTCCTCTACATAGATGATAATTTGGCGAAATATAAAGCCCAACTTGTGTACATCTCCGAATGCATACTCTTTCAGAAGTAATCAGTTCTCTGAGGTTATTTGCAGCTAATTTCGATGGTTAATGTTGGGTTGGTCTACTAGTAGAATTACGCGAGTTTTTCAGGCGGACATAATTCTCACTATGGTTTTGATTGCTTGCATGAAACCCACATTACTTTTTTCTTAGACTTTTGACCGTATTCTGTTAAACTATCTATAATTCATTAATCGTCTGGTGCTATCTAGTTTACTGCTCTTTAGTGTACGCTTGAAAGATACTAGGATCTACAAAATATGCACCATCAACATTTCCATTTGAATATCGAATATGTACTGCTTCACACTCTATACTTTTCTAAGACTGTTTCTACCGTGAATTCTATTTTATACATTTATTCTAATTATCTGAAGTTATACGTATACAATTACTGCCATTACGCCTTGTGAAAGTTCAATTTTACCCTTCTTTAAATAGTTGCAAAATATTGCCGAAGATTTTCTGGGGCGGTTTGCTCCGATAAACTAAAGCTTATTTCAAGCCTTTCAAATCAAATACTTAAAAATAACCATGCATGGACCACACAAGGTACTCACGGACTAAATGCATTCCAAAATATCCTACGAAACAGTATAATTAGTCGGCAAGTAAACAAAACGGTACGTCTTGGGCAATTTTTATATAAGCAAGGATGAAATTTGGCGCACATTTACGGAAAAAGCGAGAATTGAACAGCAAGGACAATGTGCTACTTAAATGGGGTCGATTCTATAAAGAAAATACATAGCAAAACCGTAAAGTATATTTTCTTATTTCAAATATTTAACTTAGTTCTAAACAGAAAATTAAGGGAATATACCATAAATAGAGATAGTTGAAAAATGACGGACAAATCGACGAAACATGATTTAACTACTGAGGAAATTAGGTTACAGGAGAATAAGAAGAGAACTAAATATTGGAAGCATTGGGGACCATATTTAGGAGAAAGACAATGGGCAACTGTCAGAGAGGATTATTCTCACGATGGTGATGCTTGGTCTGACTTTCCTTTCGAACATTCCAGATCTAGAACTTATCGTTGGGGTGAAGATGGGTTGGCAGGGGTTGCAGACACCCATCAATTGATCTGTTTGTCCATGTCATTGTGGAATGAACAAGATGATATCTTAAAAGAAAAGGCATTTGGGGTTACCAATTCGCAGGGAAACCACGGTGAAGATGTTAAGGACTTGTATTACTATCTTGATAATACCCCTTCGCATTCGTACATGAAATACTTGTACAAGTATCCACAAAGCAAATTTCCGTACGAAAAATTGATTGAAGAGAATGGCAAGAGATCTAGGGAAGAACAGGAGTACGAAATCACCGATACGGGTATTTTTGACGATAACAAGTACTTTGATGTGGTTTTTGAAATGGGTAAGAGTGATGATGATCCAGAAGAATTATTGTTCCGTATTACTGCCTACAACAGAAGTGACCAGCCTGCTCCTTTGCATATTATGCCCCATGTTTTATTGAGAAATACGTGGTCTTGGGGTACTGAAGAATCTAAAAAGCTAAAACCAAATTTAAATGCTAAAGGAGATTGCACCATTGAGGTTGATCATGCTAAATTCGGCAAACGTAATATGGTATTTGCTCCTGCGCCAGGTAACACGGATAGTTCTCCTGATGTCGAACCAGTTTTGTTGTTCACGGAAAATGAAACTAATACCAAACGTTTGTATGATCAAGAGAATAAAGTTAAGTATGTTAAAGATGCTTTCCATGATTTAGTTATTCATGATGAAAAGGAAGCTGTTAACCCCGAAAGAACTGGTACTAAAGCTTGTGCATGGTTTTCATTTAACGAGAATGGAGGTGTCCCAGCCGGAGACTATGTTACTATCCGTTATAAATTATCTAAACAAGGTGGTGAGATTGATGAATTAGAATTCGATCAGACTCTTGCAAGACGTCAGGATGAAGCAGACGCTTTCTATTGGAAGGTATCTCCATTGCCAATGAGTGACGACTTAAGACAAGTGCAAAGACAAGCATTTGCTGGTTTATTATGGACCAAACAATTTTACTACTTTGTTCACAATTATTGGTCAAGAGGTGATCCTGATACGCCTAAACCTCCTACTAATAGGGCCAATGGAAGAAACAAGGACTGGAAGCATTTATTTATTGACGACATTTTGTCCTTGCCTGACAAGTGGGAATATCCATTCTTTGCTGCTTGGGATACTGCTTTCCACTGTGTTCCTTTGGCAATGATTGATCCAGAATTTGCCAAGAAGCAACTTGATTTATTAACCAGAGAATGGTATATGCATCCAAATGGTCAAGTTCCTGCTTACGAGTGGAACTTCTCTGATGTTAATCCTCCTGTCCATGCATGGTCCACTTACAGGATTTTCAAAATTGAGAAAAAGATGTACGGTACTGAAGATTTGGACTTTTTAGAAGCTGTTTTCCAAAAGTTGTTACTTAATTTCACTTGGTGGGTGAACAGAAAAGATTCTGACGGAAATAATGTTTTTGCTGGTGGGTTCTTAGGCTTGGATAACATTGGTATTTTCAATAGATCTGAACCTTTGCCAACTGGTGGTAATTTAGAGCAAGCTGATTCAACTGGTTGGATGGCGTTTTTTTCGTTGCAAATGTTGAATATTGCTTTAGAATTGGCTAAGACGAGACCTGTTTATGAAAATATTGCCTCAAAGTTTTTTGAACATTTCTTATTAATTGCCGATGCCATGACTTACAGAGGAGCTGCAAAAGGTGAATCAGAAGCCACAGAAAGATCTTTATGGGATGATAATGATAAATTTTATTATGATGCTATTAGTTATGGTAATCACTCTCAATCATTACCTGTAAGATCTTTGGTTGGTTTAATTCCTTTATATGCGTCTTTAACATTAGAACCAGAATTATTGGACAAATTCCCATCTTTCAGAAAGAGATTAGACTGGTTCATTGAAAATAGGAAGTCCGTTGCTGAAAGAAACATTGCATCCATGGAATATCGTGGTGTAGGTGAGAGGTTGTTATTATCTTTAGTGGATAAAGATAGATTAGTTTCTATTTTAGAAAGAATGTTAGACGAAGATGAATTTTTGTCACCATATGGTATTAGATCTTTATCTAAATTTCACGAGAAGAACCCATTTGAAATGGATGTTAATGGTGAAAAGTATGTGGTTAAGTATTTGCCAGGTGAATCCGATTCGGGTATGTTTGGAGGTAACTCAAATTGGAGAGGACCAATTTGGTTTCCTGTTAACTTCTTACTCGTTGAAGCCTTGCAGAGATTCTACTTGTACTATGGTACTGATTTAAAGGTTGAATGTCCAAAAGGATCTGGTGAATATTTGAACTTGGCTCAGTGCGCCCAAGAAATTCAACATCGTTTGATGCATTTGTTTATTCCTGACGAGACAGAAAGTAAAGCCTGCAATGGCGGCAATGAATTGTTGAACAAAGATCCATTGTTCAAAGATTATTTCCCATTCTATGAATATTTTGATGGTGACACTGGTAGAGGATTAGGTGCAAGTCATCAGTGTGGATGGACAGCTTTGGTTGCAAAATGGATCCATGATAATGGTTCTTCATGTAGAATACCTAAAACTCCAAGAACTCCACGGACCCCAAGATCTTCTGTCTTCATTAATAACAGTGAGAATACCAACAAGACTTCTAGCGAAGACTCGTTGAATAATATTGAACAATATCGTCCTAAAGCAGGCCCATTCCCAGGAAAGTTAATGAGGAGACGTTCGAGTAAATCGTTGCTTAATATGACTATCAATTCATTAGATTTGGATGACGAAGAGGAAGAAAATCAGGCGAAGATGAACATGATGAAGAATATTCCATTGACTAGTTCAAATGTGAATCAAGATCAAATCAAGGAACAATTGTCAGAATTGGCTCCAACATTATCAAGAGGATCGGCTAATGAGTCAGAAACCAACGAAAACTTCTTAGGCCAGATCAAGGCTGCATTCAAGAAGTATAAGATGAGCGATGATGAGGTTTCTGGTGATGAATTCGAGACCAGGAATTGATTGTATTTTCTTAATTTGGATAACTTGTTATTTTTATATTATAATTCTTTTTTTTTTATTACTATATTTTATTGTTAAGTACTATATATATTTATAAATCTATAATTCTTATTTTCATTGAAGGAGTGTAGGATTGACTCTATGAAAGGACTATTATGTATGGAAGGACTTTAATGTATTATGGACTTGATTACATAATCAGTTCTAGAGGATCGAATTCTTAGATTAACGAAGGATGGAGCCAAAGCAGTCAAACAGAATCTATCAATAAGTAACTATGTCAGAATTATTCTCCACGTATGAATCTGATTTGCAATTGGCGTTACAAGAGGCCAAGTCCAAATTAGCTCAAATATCGTCAGCAGATGGAAGTATGTATAGCTTAATAACTAGTGGCGGCGAAGTAGCGAGAGATTTACTAACGAACAGAAGATGAACGTAAGCAGTTTTTAAGGGCCATTGAGACCGCAACAGATGAATGCTTAGAAGTATTGGATCAAATGAGTATAGAAGTGCAAAACTTACCCTCCAATCAGAGATCAACGTATAACACGAAGATACGTCAGTACAAATCGCAGGTGGAGGATAGTAAAGATAGACTAAAGAAATTGTTGGATGATCAAGACAAATACGAGTTATTTGGAAACAGATACACGGACGATGACTCGCACGATGATATACATGATTCTCAACGCAAGCAGTTGTTGAATAATAATTCTTCGCTAGAAAGAACATCCGAGAGATTGAGAGACAGTCAGCGAATAGCTCTCGAAACAGAAAATATCGGGGGTAACATTCTTAACGATTTAAGATCACAGAGAGAGCAAATCATGGGGTCCAGAAACACCTTGATGACGGCGGATGGATATGTCGACAAGTCAATTAAAACTTTGAAGTCAATGAGCAGAAGATTAACTGCAAATAAATTCATAAGCTATGCTATTATTGCAGTGTTGATTTTATTAATATTTTTAGTACTTGCAAGTAAATTTTGGTAATCATGTAATGGTACTTGCAACATTTTTGTTAGGCATTTTCTCTTAAGTATATTCACCTTTTTATTCATTTCTCCTCTGTTTTTGTTCTTTAAACATTATTGTACATTTATTAAACCAATCATAAATCATAATATACGTATGAATATTGGTAATTTGTATTTTGATAGAGTAAATACCCGTTGGTGGAGGTTGACTATTGAGTTTCGGCCGATGACTACGGGTCCGGTGAGATTGAGACTGAAAAAAAATTTGAGAATGAGTAATCAATATTAAAACCATTCACAGCACTTTAAGGCATAATCACATAACTATATACTGGAAGATGTTCAGAAGCATACTCAGATCAAGTCGTTGTATCCCAAAGACGTTACAGAACAATTGTCGTTCTCCAAACCTTGTGAGTCCTTTGAATTTGTACAAACAATTCCATCAAACCGTCCCAAAATTTCATGGCCATCTCCATAAACCAAACCCAGGCGAAGAGCTCCATATTACATTTATAACCAAAGATGGAGAACAATTATCTTTCGAGGTAGCAGAGGGTGATAATATTTTAGATATTGCCCAAGCCCACAATTTGGACATGGAGGGTGCATGTGGAGGTTCTTGTGCCTGCTCCACTTGCCATGTTATTGTTGATCCTGAATTTTATGATGAGATTCCAGAGCCGGATGACGATGAAAATGATATGTTAGACTTGGCCTTTGGCTTAACCGAAACTTCCAGATTGGGGTGCCAGATTAAGATGAGCAAGGAAATCGACGGTATAAGGGTAGCCTTACCAGCAATGACCCGTAATTTACAAAACAAGGACTTTAACTAGACGTTCATTATTTAATTCTTCCATTACTCGGTTGCTTACTTGATTTCCTTGTGCCATCCCAATACCTATTGAAGTCGTTTTGAAAAATTTGATTTTACATTAATACAATCTTACGGCTCTTTAAATTGCCTGCAATTTATCAAGAGATGTTTTCGTTATAAATATTGGTCATAATATACCTGTACATACTATATATCTGCCATATTACATGCTAGTATTGTTAGACCCATGTTGTAGTTGGATAGTCTGTAGGGAATGTAGCCTCACGTGCAGATGTTTACATTTCGATAATAAGGTTACCTTTAGATGATTCAATTATTCCCTACACATTCATATTCTTAGGACTAGAAGAACAGAAAAAAGGTAATACAAGGTGCTTTGAATAGAAAATTCTTCATACTACAGAATATTTGTTTTGTTTTGTGAAATAAATCTTAATTCCAAAATCGTAATTGTTTCAAGATTGTTTGTGATTCGAATACGATGTCTAAAGCACCACCTCCTGACTACCAGGATGAAGTATACGATCAACGGTCACCACAGAAGAAACGTGTATTGAGTGATATAAACAATACATACTCGAACCCATCTAAGAAAAGGGTTGACAATAAGAGACAATCATTAGACTTTGATATGGTCAGAATTGATTTACCATCTGATATGGAGACACATGCATTCAAAACTCATATACCACCTGCGCCTACAGCTTCTCTGTTTGCTTTGAAGAACATTGCAGAGAAAAACAGAAAATCTAGTAACATTCCTGCCCCGGCCAATCCAACAAAGTCTGACTTGAACTTTCAACATATCAACAAGCTTATAGGTATAAATCAGAACTTATCGAAGAAACCACAACCAGACGTTACATACGGTACAACGCCAACACTACGGACCAGATTGAGCAATGTTGAGCAGTCATTTACAAGAGATATAACAAGACAAAGTGAAATTAACCATGAGTTAGATGCTCAAGTCAAGCAATCAGCATCGAAGGTTGACGAGTTGGAATATGAATTGTTGGATCTAAAAAGATCCCTGAAAAAGCTTAACCATAGATTATTAGATTTAAAACTGACAATAAACTCGCAGAAGAAGAAATTTGAGTTCATGGAGGATTCGGTTATGAAGAATGTATTGCATAAAGAACAGCTTATCAACGTTCAATTAAAGGACCTATCGAACAAGTTCACAACTGAATACAATGAAATTAAATTCCAATTACAGGATGAATTAGCGAAAGCAAAATCTTATAAGGATAAGGGAGTGATAGAAGAAATACATAGTTTGAATTGCAAGATCGAACAGCTTCAAAACCAACTCGAAGAAACAAAATCCAGAAAAATACAAACGCTAAAAAGTGAGACTACCGAACTCGAAAAGCAGCTAGAGAAATACTTGCTGACTAAAGTTGAAGAGGCTGATAAGTTGACCGCTATTTACCAAGACAAACAGTCGGAATACGAAAAGATATCAACAAAGGTGACAGAGAAAAAAAATCAAATTCTGCTAAAGGAGAATGAGAATAATTCTTTAAGAGATTCTATAAGTACACTTGAATCGAACATGAATAACTTCTCTGCTATGAGATCGTCGCTATTGTCAGATTTACATATGGAAGAACGTGCATTAATTGACTTGGAATCTAAGAACAAAGAGTGGGATGAAAGCTTAGCTAAATCTCAGATGATTTATGGCAAGGCATGCGATAAAATCAAGAAACATAACCTACAAAGGAGGATTATTGAAAATTCAATAATGGATTACGAAGGGAAGGTACGGGTTTACACAAAGGTACCACATAATATGAGTATTACTAGTGAACAAGAAATTCAATTTGAGAACCAATTTTTCAAGTTCAACAAATGCTTTAGTTTTGATGCGTTGAACAGCGATATTTTCGACGAATTTAGAGCGCTTATAAACAATTCAATTTCGGGATCTAACTGTTCTGTAATATTTTCTGGTAATGTAACAAATAACCTTATTGTCGAATCCATTACCTCAAGTTATCAAAGCATTGTGGAAAAGTCAGAAAAATTTCGAGAGAGATCATGGGAGTTCAATTACTATTTAAAGTGTGTTGCAGTTAGTCAGAATTCATCTGACATGTTGAATTCTTCGAGTCCCTTAAACCTAAGAAATATTGATCATAGCGATTACAGTCTCAGTCAAATATCCAGCCAGAAAATGTCACTTGATGATGCATCAAGTCTAGCGGAAGTTATAACAAGCTTACTGATACCAGAAGGAGCAGAAGGTGTCGCATATATAATAAATGTTGATGCCAACAATCCTCGTTTATTAAAAAGCTTTGAATCTAATATTATGCTATTAGATATCACAAGTATAGAGCCAGCTAGGCAATATGAATTATTACATACTCCAATTGTGTCTGGTTCTTTAATATCAGAAGATTTAGTACTTCTATTAAACTACGCCTACTTACAAAGCAAATGTTTACATATATCTGTTCTTGATACTGTACCAGAAACTGAAATAGGGCATTTTTTGAAAAACTTAGAAATTATGAACTCTTCTGATTCACCCTATAAACGGAAAAGCTGAAATATATCATGTATAATTAATTGATATTCTATATGATTAAATGTATAAATAGTAGTAGATTACATCGTAGAAATGAGGTCATGTAACATCCATTTCAATTCATCAGTCGTTCCAACATGTACATCAGGTATTGGTGGCTTCTGAGATGACGTTTGCGCTGTCGGTTGTTGATTGTTTGTCACTTCTTTCGGTTGTTGAGATCCCTCTTTTTGTAGTGCAGCAGATCCGTCGGCCTTATCCATATTTGTATCAGGTTTAATGGCATGCAGAGGTTTCGTATCTGAGTTATTTTCATTTTCTTTCGATTCAATATGTATGGATCCATTAGATTTGTTTACCGGCGTTTCCTTTTTTAGTATCCCGTTTGCAATTGGCTCATTGACTGGCTCTAACCTAGGCGGTAATTCATAATCATAATCCGTAGATACCATATCATCATTCTGTAGCATTATATTGGATAGTCTTAATTTTGGACCAGATGGCTCAATTAAATGTGGGAACATTTCAAATGTATCGAATAAGTCATTAATATTCAATGTTACCTTACGTTTCTTTTCATTTTCCAGCTCATGATCAGTCTTTCTTTTCTTAAAATTTTCATTAGCATTAGAAGGTTGCATAGAATTTAAAGTCGTGGATATAAAATCATTAGTTGTATACTTATTCTCTCTATACCTCGCAACATCAATAGCACTTTCAATAATATCCTTTAAGTGGGCATCTAGCCCAAGTAAAACCATTTCAAGGACTTCGGTACTTAATCCTCCAGTCAATCCATACTCTCTCATTGTCATTAGTATACGCCTTGATAAATTATCATAATCAGGAATTTCATAGTTTTCGGACGCAATCGGGGTATTGATGCCATTTACTACATCCTGCTGCCACTGCACTAAATTATTAACCTGTAATTGTTGTTGTGCTGTATCCTGAATCATTGGGATCTTTGGTAGTAGGGCATGTCTCGTTAACGTTATTGATGCGTTTAATTTACCCTTTTTACCGCTTTCTCTAGTGATATTCTTAATTCTTCTTCTCTCCTTAACCGGTAAACCCATAATGTTTTGCTTGAATTTTTCATATTGACTTGATCTAATGTTTTTAGTTTTATTTGCTTTCTTATTCCAGAAGGATGCAAATTCACTTTGAACGTCTAACGGCCCATCCTTCAACGAATTTGAAAAATTTAAAAGCAACAACTTATTATGATACTTTCTTAATCCATTTTTAAGGATTGGCGTGATATTCTGTATTAATTCGGGACGTGATAGTTTTCCAACCAAAAACAAACTCAACGATTCGTGATATTTATCCCAGTCAGATCCAAGTTTAGTCTGAAATTCTCGTATAAGCGTCTCCAATTCCATCCTCTTACTAGATTTGGATGTCAACGCTTCGGCGGGCGTAGACGTAGTCGACATCTTAATATGAATCTAAGTTAAGTTACCTTTATTTGATATATGCCTTATTTCTTTCAATAATATATTAATAACCTAATATCAACGAATAATTTAAACCTTTAATTTAGGTTGAACGTACAGGAGTAATAATATTTACAAAAAACCTTCTTATATACCTCCTAGTGCTATACAAATGTACCCTATGTTAGGTTGATTGATGTATTTTGTACTATGCTTATGGTCGGTATAGGATTAATTTTCAATACAAAATCATATTGATACGCGCACGCTTGCTACAAAATTCGGTAAGTATATTATTGCAAAATTAATCTAATCTATAATATCGAGTGGTAATTTTATTTCTTTCGAGTCAACTTCTGTGATTGAAGGCTCTTTAACAACAGTAACCTCAGAATCAGGGTCGTTTTTAGTATGTTGTGCAACTATAAAAATAATAGCAAATAAAACTCCGAGGAAGGCCACGCCAATGCCCATGTAAATTGCGGCTCTGTAACTTTTTAGCGTATTATGATGGTGCTGCATCGTTTGTATTTCCACAGTACTTGCAATTCCTAGAAACAAGGAAACAGAATAATTAACTACGGTTGAGACCAACGAACCTGCCATCCCTTGATGATAGAGAGGCAAGAAATCCGATAGAATCAAGGCTGCCGCAGGGTAGCTTAGATCCATGCCCCACGCTAGCAAAAACATTTGCCCCATAGAGATTTGGAAGTATGATTGATCAATTGGCATAATGGATAGCATGATACACCCACACATGAAGGATACTGAAGCAAAACAAATAATGTATGAAGGTTTTATTTTGGAGATCAAGACGGAAACAGAAAGTGCTGCAATAATGCCCAACACAAAAAATGGGATGTAGGTTAAACCGGCTGCAATTGGCGTGTAGTGTCTCAAGTTTAACACGATACTCCAATAATAATATTGCCATATACCAAATGATCCCCAGCCAAAACTGATACACAGCAATAAGAGGCCAATTTTAAAATTGAAGATTGACTTTGGTAATAATGGATATTCGGCAACTTTTAACTCAATGTAGAAAAATGATATAATTCCAATTGATGATATGATTAAAAGCACGATAATGTAGACTGTATCCCAACCTACTACAGGCCCTTGGTTCCACACAAAATTGAATAACACCAAACTGATTATACCAACAGTAGAACCTAATATATCCATTCTCTTTAATTTTTCTCTTGTAACAAGTTCACTATTCACGTTTGAAATATTATTTGGAATGATGAAAAACGATGTTATACCCAAAACACATGCAACTATGGCCAATATCCAAAATACCCACGGCCACCATGCTAACTGGGCAAGTATTGCTGCAAATATAGCGCCAAGTGTGGCACCAACAGGTCCAGATGCTCCAACACAGCCAAATGCCAAGTTCTTTCTGTCACCTATTGGGTAAATATTACCTAAAATACCCAAGGCACAAGGCAATATAAGAGCAAATCCTATTCCCTGGAACGCTCTGCAGATTATGAAAAATATGATTGAATGACTATAATAAGAAAACCCGGTGATTATTGCCCAGACTACAACCCAAGCCCAACCGACCAATAGCATTCGTCTCAATCCAAATAAATCACCTAATCTACCCGAAATTAATATGAATGTGCCCACAGTTAACGCAAATGAACCCATAAACCAAACTCTCTCTGAGCCCTCTATTGAATCTGAAGTCTCCGCAAACGAATCGAGAATTATATTCATGGGCGTTAATGACATGGTTATGCCTCCTTGCGCTAAGAGCTGGGCCATACATATGACAAATACGAACAAAATTTCATGTAAAGTTGTCTTGAAATAAATTGGTCGGGGATCCATTTTATGCGTTTCCTATTAAATTTAGCAGGTTCTATGTAATCAGTATCTGTCAATGTAATAATAGCCTGCTATTACGCCTTTATATATATGTAAGAGGAAGCCTCTTTAGGTATGACTCTTAATACCTTCGATAACAGTAAGTATAAAAATATGCGCCGTGCGATGCATTCTATCTCAACAGTCAAATATATGGAAATGCCCGAGCGTCAATGATTTTATCTATGTAAACCTTCACACACATCTAATATGAAGGCAAATACGTCTAGTATGCTACGATATATAGTGAGTATAAAGATATACTTAAATATAATACTATACAGTTTATAGCTTGAAAGAACTAAAGAAATTCGTTTTCATTTTCCATTTTCAGGGTGTATTCTAACTTTTTACCATGAGTTTGGGTAGCGAGATGGCAGACGCAATACGTAGGTTTCATTCTTTTACATTGGAGGGCTGTTGTTGTTCAACATAGGTAAAAAAAGCCGAGGTATGTACCCTCTATAGAACAAATCACGCAACAACCATTAAACCAGCCAAATTGTGTAGAAGACACTAGTTCTCATCAGCACGATTCCCAGGTGTTGCTAGACCATTGCTACATTATTGTATACACAAGCAATGACCGTGACTTAACGTGGATCAGCGTGGATCACGGTCAGCATTAATTCTGGGACTTTGTGAAGTGTGGCTCCATGTGGCCAAAAGTCACCAACCGTCGAGTCAATCGACCAAAAGGTTCCTATTCAGTCCCCACAACGCACCAACTCCACAAAATCAGCGTGGCTTCACTGGAAAACTGCCAATGACTGCAAGAACTTGTCAGTTTCCACAATAAAGTTACTATTGCTGATTTTATCCTCCTCTTTGAAATCAACCGCACTCAAACTGTTAAACGCGATGTTTTTCACGTAGTAGTTCGAATACAACTCCCACAATACGTTCTGGAGGTTATCTATCGACGTGTCCGAAATAAGCACAAACTTCAACCCCGTAGCCGACTCCAAGAAATGCGTTCTGTACTTAGACGTACTAAACGACTTCAACAAGTTGTTCATATCACCGTCTCCTAGCTTCGACGCCATATTTTTCAATGAATATAGCATCCCAAATAGCAACTTGGCCCCATCTGACTGATTATTCTTATTTATGGTGCCATTATCGTTTGCCTCGTGTGAATATTCTCGGTTGTAGATGCAATTGCAATGCCTATCAAAGATGAAAAATGAATGAATAGTCATCTTGGCCGAATAAAAAAAAAACTGTGTTTCACAAAAATAACCACTAAAGTATATATAGTGTGGTGTTTACGTGCCTTATTGTATAACCACTATAATAGTAGTGGTGATTCACCGAGAATTTTTTTATTTGAGTCATTTTCACAATCCGCTATACAAGTGAACCACAATTTTTCAGTTGCAAAATATAAATAGACAATAAGTCCCATCTTTTAGACATACTTCAGTTCATCCTTTATTCATTATTATTATATATTATTGAAGATATTTGTATAGATACCCTATACTAATACTATTGACACTACGTTATACTAGAGATGTTCCAAGATTATTGCATGGCACATGGAAATCCAGTCATACCTGGGTCACTTTACTGTTGTGATGAATGCCGTGATCAGGATATAGATAACAGTATCTACTACGAGAGTCCAGTGGGATCTCCATTAAGCGTGGCTTCTGAGGTGGAAGATCACTTATTGTATGAGTGCTGGTTTTGCCAGACTCACCACGAACCCAATGAGGCCTGCACCGGACATAATTATGCGATAGGCAATAATGACAATAACTACGACTTAATAAAAGAAAGCCAACCTAGAGACACCACATTACCCAATTATGCATTGGAAATGCTTGGACAAGGTGAGTCAGAAGAAAATACCGATCATTCCATCATAAATAGTAATGAATTGATACAATCGAACTATCGGAAATGGTTGGTCAATATGGCTCCGAGATAGGACAAGGTTTTGGTCCTATGAGTTATTCATTTTTTTTTGCATCGGTTATTTTCGTCATTCGATATTAGGGGTTGGGTTTATACAGATACGGTCTTTGTTTGGTAAGACACTTATATATTAATTAATTTATTACGTTATGTTTGTTATGTTTATACAATGGTACATTATTATACTATTTATATTATGCTATGGTACAGTAACTATTATTACAGAATGTAGATTGCAGATAGTTGCAACCGATATCGTTCTATCGTGTGGTTTTGATTATTTCTTTTTATACCTTGCCTTGATTCCTGCGGTCAAATCACGCAATTGCTGGAGCTTCCTAGGAATATTTTGTACATTTGGCTTGGTAAAAGTTTTCGCCTTCGGAGAACTGAATGGGGTGCTCTCTTCTAGAACACCATTGCCGAAGCCGGTCAATATTGACTCATTACCATTGTTCATGGTTGTGTTGTTGCCAGTGGTATTCAAATTCAAGAATGTAGAGTTCATAGGGTATGCTAGGTTCGGAATCGTAATGTTGTTAGCAGTCATGAATGTGCTATTCGAGTTATTAGACGCATTGGAGAGCGAGGTGTTTGATCCTAGATGCTTAGATAAATATTGGTATTTTTTACTCAATTTTGCCTTGTTCAAAGCTTCATTTTCCACTGCCCTGAAAGTATCGTCCGTGATGCTCTCTTTCTTTTCTAGGGACTGGGGATTACTAGCCTCCTTTGCCTTAGTAATCCGTTCCTTCTTCCTGAGTCCCCTTTTAGTGAGTTCGCCTTTGAAGTTAGAACTACTTTTTGCAAAGCCATTAAGTAAAACTTCATTTATACTTGTTTCATTTGCTGTCATGTCACATAAGGTTATATCAAAAATGTTTTCATTCTTAAGGTGTGTTGAAATATCAAGTATATCCGACACTTCATCTGAAGTTAATTTAGATTGTTCAATGTCCCAAAATACAACTAAAATCTGCATCTTATAGTAACTATACTTGTTACCCAAACTTATAATCTTGTTAATCACAAGTTGATCTCTTTTCAATTTATCTTGAATTGTACCAAATTTTGTAACTTGAGATTCGTTGACAAAACCACACTCAAACAATACGAAAGATGTATTTGTAAAGAAATCTTTATTCAAGTAATCATTATTCGGTAGACTAGTAAAATTAATTAATAATTTGCTA